GTTTCGACCTTTCCTCGTCCTCGGCCGCCAACTACATGAGCCCCGACCAGTGGAAGCTTGCCGACAAGGAGCTCTCCGCTCTCTTGGGTGTTTTGGAGCAGAACCGGAACTGGGTTGTTGCTGAGGGTGCCGAGGAGTGGGATGATGATGACAGACAGCCCCAGCCTGCTGAAGGCGAGGTTTTCTATGTCCCCGGCAGCATCGTTTCGTACATTGAGAGACTGGACGACGAACTCACCCGGTCATTGCAGCAGATCGACCCCCACACTGCCGAGTACATTGAGCGGTTGAGCGATGAGCAGCAGCTGTACACTAACCTTGTCCGCGCCCAGATCTACGTTGAGGGCAACACCAAGGCCGACAAGAGCGACCCTCGCCAGGACAGCGTCAACAGAATCGTCATGAGACGGTTGGAGCACGTCTACTTCAAGCCTTCTCAGGTTGTTGCTATCCTCGAGGAAGGTGCCTGGAAGGCCCTCCCTGAGACCTTGGAGTCTGCCACCACTCCTCGCAGCAAGGCCAGCGATGTGAACAACCTCGTCCAGGCCCTCTGCAACTACCTCTTCGTCAACAGCGACGGCATCATCAAGGCCCGCGCCATGCTCTGCCAGATCTACTTCCTTGCCCTCCACGACCAATACTACCGGTCTCGCGACTTGATGCTCATGTCCCACTTGACCGAGAGCATTGGCAACTTCGACGTCAGCACCCAGATCCTCTTCAACCGCACGCTCGTCCAGATCGGTCTGTGCGCGTTCCGTGCCGGTCTCATCTACGAAGCCCAGAACACCCTCTCCGAGGTCTGCGGTAGCGGACGTCAAAAGGAGCTGCTCGCCCAGGGCATCATCCTCCAGCGGTACTCGACCGTCTCGCCCGAGCAGGAGCGTCTCGAGCGCCAGCGCCAGCTGCCCTTCCACATGCACATCAACCTGGAGCTCCTGGAGTGCATCTACCTCACCTCCAGCATGTTCCTGGAAGTGCCCCTGATGGCGCAGACCTCGTCCTCGCCCGAGATGAAGCGCCGCATCATCTCCAAGACCTTCCGCCGCATGCTCGACTACAACGAGCGCCAGGTGTTCACGGGCCCTGCCGAAAACACCCGTGACGGTGTCATCATGTCCGCCAAGTTCCTCGCCGCCGGCGACTGGCAAAAGGCCGCCGATATGCTCAACTCCATCAAGATCTGGGAACTCATGCCGCAGCCCGACAAGATCAAGGCCATGCTCTCCTCGCAGATCCAAGAGGAAGGCCTGCGCACCTACCTCTTCACCTATGCCCCCTTCTACGACAGCGTCTCCCTCACCTCCCTGTCCTCCATGTTCGACCTCCCTGCCAAGAAGATCGCCGCCGTCATCAGCCGCATGATCTCGCACGAGGAACTCGCCGCCGCGCTCGACCAGGTCAACGACGCCATCGTCTTCCGCAAGGGCGTCGAGCTCTCCCGCCTGCAATCCCAGATCGTCACCCTCGGCGATAGATCCATGCACCTCCTCGAGGCCAACGAGAAGACCCTCGAGCAGCGCACCCAGGGCATGGCCAACGCCTTCCAGCGCGATCAAGGCCCCGGCCGTGGCGGCCGTGGTGGCCGTGGTGGTGGCCAGGCTCGCGGTGGTGGAGCCAGAATACCCGGTGGGCAGCAGGGCCGTCGGCCTGGTGGTCAGCAATTCGGGGGTGGTGCATTGGGCGGTGCTATCAAGGCTTAAAGAGATTGAGATTGTTTAAAATTTGTTTATAATGGCATTTTACGGATTCCCTTTCTTTTCCTTTTTCTTTTCTTTTCTGTTCTTTTTTTTTTCTTTTCGAGTTCTTTTAATGACTGTTTTGGTACTCGGAGCCACAGTGTTTAACTCATGTATGTCCTATCAGATTTGGATTTGCAGTTTGCAGATGAATTGATGTCTGAGATGAGATGATTTAAAATATGATAGGAGAAAGCAAAAATAGATTGTTCATTCACTTCCTTGCTTCTGGTAGCTTAACGTATTACTCCAAGTGAATCTATCACCTTCCTTTCTTGGCAGGAAGCGTTATCATACTATCAACCATCATCAACCTATCTATCTATTCAATCAAATACACTCGCCTCTACATTAGAATCAGTGGATCTCCATGGAAAATTGAAACGAGCTAACACGGAAATTACCTAGCTGACAGCAATTCAAGCAGACAGTTCTTTCTATTTAAATGAGCTGCAACACAAAGAGAACGGGTTCGAATTTCACCTGCCACCGACCCAGCTGATTTGCGTCTGTGGAATTTCCACCGGGCAACGGCTGTGTCGTTTCGTTGTCGACGTACGGTTTGATGTTCACCTAGTGCTTATCCACTGGAATGCGTTGGTATAGGTACAACTATAAGCACAAACCGCACCGGACACTGGGTCGGATGTTCCCTTCTGTCAGTTAGTTGACCGAGTGAACCGGGCTATGCTCAAGGTACAATGGTTTAAAAGGCACGGATGAGTATGGTTCCACGGGGACCAGGCCACATGCTCTCAAAGAAAGAAGTCTGGATGGTCAACCGAAAGACATCGGAAGACGCAGTGCAGCATGTTTACCCTCGTTTTTTACGCCATGCTTGATGAAGTGGAGTGAGATCAAGGGAAGCGATAGTCTGGCGTACGGGGGTACTACGCTAGAACTTGTCGAACAATCCCACGGGGAAAGATATTTAACTTTGGGGGATTAAGAAACTAGAAGGTATGTCTTGTCAGAGGTTTGAATGGATGGCATGAGATGTACTGATTATAATCGCAGGCTTATCCCCATGACCGATATCAGCTCCGTGTGACTTTGGCATATATTGGGCTTGGGTACGCCGTCGGTCTATGCCGTGCTGTGAGAATTCCTTGGTCATAGATTGATATTGAACAAAGCAACGAAACGGCCTGTGATGCATGTCGAGAGAGAACCATCATCAAAATATTACTACCAGCGGACAAATTCTTGCTGGATTGGATTCTGCCACGCCGAGTACCGAGTAACGACATGACGAATTACGAAGAAATTTCTATTCCTAGAGGACAGCGTTGGCGACTTTGCACGAAGACCCACATATCAACGAAATGGATGGAATGAAGGTGACACCTGCCGCTGCGAACACGATGGCTGTGATCTCTCTATCCCCTCGTGAAGATAAATGTGTCGTTTCTATGACGAACTTGGAAGCCAGATCCCGCTTGACGCGAGGCCATCACTCTCTCAACCCACGCGCATCACACCATCAGCTTTCCGACGGCCCTTATCTATCAGCATTCCCACCCCCATCCTACTGTCCGCGGAAGGGATCACACTTCGGCTCGCCTTGAAGAGATCGAACATAGGCGAGTGCCGTTTTTTTTGGGGTCAATTTAGCCATAAAATGGGACGGTGACCCGTATCACCTGCTTTTCTCAGAGATCGAGAAGTAAGTCCGTCAGATTGGACCATCCTTAGGACGAAAGATGGAGAGACACGGAAATATTTGGGTTTCGTGTTGGAGCGAGTGAGTAAACGCTGCGGCTAGGCTTAGTGCGCTAACTGCCATACTAGACTCGTTGCTGGTGCACTGTTTGCTAAGGATTGGTGGCCTGGAGCAGGCTTGCTTTACTTGCCCTTGCAGGAAGAAGTACCATGGGTTGATTTTTGGATCGTCGGTAGACTGCTCTACTTAATGCAGGAAACAATGTCCATCACCATGAAGATGAAAAATCGATAAGGGTATCTTTGATGTCCTAGCGAGGTCAGAAAAAGCCCCCTGGATGTTGTCAAGCGACTTCGAGGTACAGAAGCAAGCGTTGTTTTCTATCGGGTCCCATGTTGGATTGAATGACCACAAGATCAACATTATGGTAAACAGCATGACATGACAGCCGTGCATGGTGTCTAGTCATGACCACCCTGACTCTAACTATGGCTATCCACGGCTACTACGAAAGCTGACAGTCTGACACAGGCCCTGCGAGAGAGAAATGGGAATTCATGGGAAGAACATGCCGAGCTCGAAATGATCCGAGATGGAAATGCATTTGCATCTTTTTTTTTTTTTTTTTTCTCAACTCGAATGATCTTGCATCGCGTGGTAACCGACCACCCCTGCCTGTCGATGCGAGATTCTAAGAAGAAAAACTGTAGTCCACAGAAAAACCGCCCTGAGCTTGATATGATACAGCCAAGACATGAAACATTGGCGTCCATCTCCGGCTGTAATGATCTTGCAAGGCGTGGGGATCCACAAATCCAGACAAGGAAAGATGATCTGGAATGAGAAGCTTCGTGTCGCTTTATCGGAATATGCCCGCCTCACGCCATTCTCGAACTCGAAAACACGCATACCATACATGAAAAACAGATCAACCTGAGCTGGGAAAGCCGCGAGTCGACCACTCACGACTAATTCCCAGTCTTCTGCGATTATAGCAGATGGTTACAACTGCGCTAAAATGTTCTAGACGCTACGAATGAGCAAAAAAGAGCACTCGAATGTTTCCGAAGCAAACATGACGGATAACACAATTATTCAACTATATCGGTCCGTGGCAAGCCCTGATGCATACCACCATGACACATAGCCTTCTATACCACGACAAGTCATGACCAATTGCATCCACCCATTGCCCCTGCTCCAGGCCTAATTCTATAAGGGGGGCAATGAATTTTGAATTATACCAGGTAATCTCATGGAATAAGAAGCTGAGACATGTCGATTCACCTCACTTATTGCATCCCATGGTTTAACCCATTTGAATGCCTCAAATCGAACTTTGGCGTGGAGTTGGTGAGCACGCATGGTGTGTAGATAATAGGTGTCGATAGCCTCAATACTTGATAAAGAGCCCGAAAGTTCTAGAGCAGCTTTAGCCCTTATTTAGTAGAGAAATCTCATTAGTTATTGGATCCAGGCAACTTCTAATGGTCGTAAAATCCTTCCCGACACTTCCCTTTTGCCTCGGTCCCGCATTCCCCGAAATTCTTTAAACTCGGCATTATTTCCGCGTATTTGCACTCTCAAAGTCACTAGAAATGAGGACAATGCTGAATGCCTGCATAATATGCCACAAGAAAAAGGTTTGTCTAGTCTATTTAGTGCATAGAGCGATACTAACCGACATAGATCAAATGCGACCTGGCAAGTCGCCGCCCATGCTCCAATTGTTACAGGACCGGGAAGGAATGCGTGTACGATTCAACCCCACGGCTTGCGATTTGTATATCTTAAAGCGACAGCTGATTAATTGGGTCGGTATAGAATGTATAGCAGGAAGCGAAAGCGATATACAAATAGTCTCTCACCTCGGGAGAGCGCGGAACCGCAGCCTAGCCAGGGCGATACAAACCCAACACGCACTACACAAAGACCGAAAACAAATGATGTGATCGAAACCTATCGCGGCAGAGACCGGTACCTAGGACGACACGTATCGTTCGACGAAGCAATCGCCTCGCCTAACCTCCAAGATTCAGAATTAGGATCGGGATCGGGATCCAGACTCTCGCCAGCGGATCTCGAGCTCCTTACGCACCAAGGCGCGTTTCAACTACCACCTAAATCAGTGCAGGACGAGTATATAGCGGCTTATATGAAGTACTGCGATGTCTGGACGCCAATTGTTGAACCTGAATGGCTCCACGGCCAATCTGTATCCTATCTCCTCCTTCAATCTATCTTGTTGGCAGCAAGCCGCGTCTCAAAACAACCCAGCACCCATGGAACGAGTGCAGATTTCTACCGTCGCGCCAAACTGTTATTTTTCTTTGGACACGAGCGGAATCCCCTTATTTCTATTGTCAGCGCGGTGTTGCTGCATTGGTATAACCCCGTCGGACCGGAGACAATATCGACTGATACAAGCGGGTTCTGGTTGAGGACTGCGGAGGCGATTGCGTTTCAGATTGGATTGCATAAAGAGCCACCGGGGTCTGGTACGGGTGAGAGCAGGAGGAAGAGGGCCCTGAGGAGGAGGCTGTGGTGGACTCTGGTTGTGAGTTCTATCATTCCTTAGGATAAAAGAGGGGCTAACGAGTCAGGTCCGGGACTGTATTATTTCGGCGGGTGTTGGACGGCCTCGGACTATTAATCTGTGTGATAGTGATGTATTTCCTCCTTCGATGGATGACTTTGATAAGGGAGAAGATACGACGAACCGGTTATTCCTCGTCTACGCATCAATATGCCAACTCCTGGGTGATATCGTGGAAGGCTGTCTGCGTCCTCAACAACAACCCAATCAAAACCACAAGTCCCTTGAGAATGCACTATATCGTTGGGTGAAACAGGACTTCCGAAGCATCACTTCCCTCAGCGCCGGCTCATCATCTCAATACACTCTCGAAGCCCGACAGATCATGCTCACGTACTTTGCGAACCTGATCATCCTCGACCGCACACCGACTTCCGACGGGGTACCATCCGCCAGGTCATTCGTAGCATCGTCGTTTATCTCAGGCATATACAAGGAATTCATATCTCGCGACGAACTATGCCGTCTCGGGCCTGTTTTTGCCTTCTACGCTTTGTGCGCAGGACTCGCCTTGATCCCGGGAATCCGGTTCCCCACTCTACGGGAGACGGCTATTGAGGAGCTGCGAACACTTATAGATTCCCTAAAGGGTTTGTCAAGACAATGGGGTTCTGCGTTCGGGGCACTGCGTGCATTACAGAGACTCGGCGGTGAAATCAGTCAAATGCCGACGAGGGGTGATCCGGTCCCAGTGTTGAGAGAGGAAATGGTGCCATTTTTTGAGGATTTTGGGAAGGGATTGTGTCGGCAGTGGAATGTGTTCTTTGGTGGCGAGGAGATGGTAGTGACGGGGATGGTTCCGCAGGGGGTGTTGAATAATCTCGGGTTCGAAACTGAGCTGCCATCCCTCGGTCATGCTGGGACTGGGACTGGGACTGAGGATGTATTACCGCCGTCAGCCGGTGAAACAGACTTTGGAGATTTGGATCTGTTGAGTGGGAATTGGGAGGGTGTTGGGTTTGATTGGAGCGGGTCTTGGTTATTAGACGATGTTATATCACATATCAACTAATTCTAAGTCCAGACAATATACAACAAACTACATTCAGACAATATCATACAGTAACAACACAGCAAAAACTACAGCTTAGCCCTCCTCGCCTCCACCTCCAACCCAAAGAACCTCACAAAAGCACGTAAACACCCCGGATTAGCAACCGTGTTACTGACCTTCTCCGGCAACTTCCCACTCGAAATAATCCCTCTCACCAACGTCTCAACCTTCTTCCCATTAACCGTCATAGGGATCTCGTCAACCTCAATCACGAACCTCGGAACGTGCTTGTTACTCAGTCCCTTCCGGATAGCGTCTTTCAAACTCTCCCTGAATGTATCTGTCATTTTGTGGGGTTTCTGCATGACCACGAATAGGAAGACGGATTCGTCAGTGTCGGATGGTCGACGGCGGCCGACGCAGAGGGTGCTGGAGAGGAAGGTGTTGAAGGGGGCTGCTTCGACGATGGAGTAGATGTCTGAGGAGCCGAAGCGTATGCCTTGGGGGTTTAGGACGCCATCGCTTTATTCATTAGTACCAGCTCACTTATAAAATAGGAGATGGTTTGGGAACATACCTCCGTCCATGAATCTGCCATCCGCGAGTCAACGGGTTATAGCTCGCCCAGTCATGCTGTGCCCAGCAGTCGGAGAATTTATTAAAGTACGTCTCCTGATACTTCGATCCATCGACATCACCCCAAAAAAACACAGGCATGGATGGAAACGGCTTGCGGCAGACGAATTCCCCTTGCTTTCCGGAGCCCCTCACGGACTCACCCGTAATAGCATCCGCGATATCAACATCCTGTCCTAGTATCGGCAGCTGAATCTCACCCGGGTACACCGGACCTGCGGGATCAGTCCCAATCCACGAGGTAACCAGATCCGTCCCACCAGTAACACTGGTCAAATGAATTTTAGTCGGAAAAGCGCGATAAAACCAATAATACTGATCCTTCGCCAGATGCGACCCACCCGTCTGCACCATCTTCAGTGCCGAAAGATCGGCCTCGTTCTTCGGGATACACCCCGTCATCTCGAGTTCCTGAAGGTATCTCGGGGAAACGCCCCAGTAGGTGACCTTGTGGAACTCTAATATCTTTAAAAAGTCCTTCGGACTAGGCCAGAGCGGAGAGCCATCGTAGACGACTAGTGTTGGACCTGCGGATAGGTGTCCGATCATGATGTTCCAGAGGACCCAGGATGTGCTGCTGTATTGGAAGACCACGTCATCTGGGCCGAGGGAGTTGTGGAGGAATGAGACCTTTTTGTGTTGGATTATTGTGGAGTGGGCGTGGACGAGGCATTTGGGGACGCCGGTTGTGCCGCTTGTGTAGAGGATGTAGAGGGGGTGGGAGTAGGGTACGCGGGTGAATTGCAGGGGTGAGTTGTCGTTTGGCTTGGTGAGGAAGGTGGATAGTGTCGGGAACGGGAGGTTGCCTTGGACGTTTGCGAGGGGGATGAGGATGACTTGTGGCTTGCTGGTGAGTCGGTCGAAGACGGCTTGGATTTTGGATAGGTTGGAGCGGGTTTTTCCTTTGAAGGTTGATGCAGTGTCGGCGAAGAGTATCTTTGGGGAGATTTGTTGGAGGCGGGAGACGCAGCCCTAAGCATTCACATTAATGTCGAGTTCCCAGGAATACCAGTAGTGAAGAGCATACCTCCTCCCCAATATCCGGCGCAATACTACTCCAAACAGCCCCAATCGAAGCCGTCGCCAAAAATAACACCACAGACCAAACACTCGTTGAAATAATCGCACCAACCCGATCCCCCTTCTGCACACCACTCGCCCTCAATGCACCCTGCACCTTCCTCACCATTTCCGTAACATCTCCCCAAGTCCACTTATCCCCTTCAATCGCCTCCATCTCCCGAATCCCGACCAGGGCAAGTTTATCCAACGGTTTTCCCGAAAGCACATTCTCCGCATAATTCACAACAGCGCCCTCGAAGAACTTCGGGAGCTTGCTCATCGGCAGAGAAGCATCGTAGGCTTGGGTGACACTCGCGGGGAGCTTGGGAATGATACCGGTGTAGTCATGGAGATCAAGCCAGAAGTCTTGAGGATTTGTCACGGACCAGCGGTGCAGGTCTTGGGAGGAGGTGAGGTTCTGGGCGAATTTGCGGTTGATGTGGGCGCGGTAGATGTTCATGGGGATTTTGTCCGCGGGGACGGTTGGGTGCCAGATTGGCTGGAGCTGGCGCTGAACGGTGTCTTGCATTTTGTTTGTTGTGTAGAGTATGCTTTGTGGCTGCGTTATTGCAAAGAGAGGAAGGATGCAGTGCAATAGAGCAAATGCATGAGTTGTAGGACCTCCTTAAAATAGGACTATGTGGCCGCCGGCCGTGATATTCTTCCTTGATAATTTCCCCACGCATACCGCGGGGAGCATACGGCATTCCGGGGATATGCAGTTCGCCAAATCATCATGGAAGTTGTCGGAAGTTTGCGTTGCTCTTCGGTTGTCGTTAGTTCTCGGTGATTCCCGGTGGATTCCGGTGTTTTTCGGCATCTGCATTTCCACGGCAGTTGGCAGCCGGGGGAGCTACAATTTACCCTGGGGAATACCAATACCAAGGAATATAAATTATGCTGAGAGAACTTGACTTACCATACCATTTGCTTCAATTTACCCTTGAAAACTGAAGTGCCAAAGGACAACATGGCAACCGCAGACTCCGGCTACTTCCTCACCCCACCCCTCCTCTCCAACCCCTTTTCCTCAGACCCCGTCTACCAACGAATCCTATCGTCCTATCTCCCCCCAGAAATCCTATCACAGATCCAACCCAGTCTATACCGCTTCGCTGCGGAAGCCATTTCGGAAAGTGTGCACGACTTGGTACGCAATGCCGAGTCGCAGCAGCCGTTCGTCAAGACCCGGAATGTGTGGGGTTATCGGCCCGAGAGAGATCGGCTGGTTACATCTGATGGGTGGAAACAGCTCGGGAAGTGGGGGCTATCAAATGGGTGTGTATTCTTGGTGTTTTGGTGTATTTTACTAGTGTAAAGGCTAAAATGGGTTAGGGTTGTTGCGCATGGGTATGAGGATGAGTTTGGAGAGCATCGTAGGGTTGTGCAGCATGCTTTGTATTTTTTTGCTGGTCTCTCGTGTTTTGAGTATTTGCTAATGATTATAGCAATTATATCTATTCTGCCTCGTCGGCTGCGTACTCTTGTCCTGTGTCTATGACATCTGGAGCTTGTCGTTTGGTCCGGTTTCAATTGGACTCGGTGCCCGCAGATCACCCGTTTCATGAGCTGTATGCTAAACTTACGGCTCGAGAGAATTCTTGGGTTTCTGCCCAGTGGATGACCGAACGAGCTGGCGGGAGCGATGTGCGCAACAGCGAAACAGTCGCCGTTTATTCCCCTCTCCCCACAAAAACTGGCCGCTTCGGTCTCATCGATGAGGGCGATTACCTGCTCTCTGGATTCAAGTTCTTCTCCAGCGCGACTGACTGCAACGTCGCATTTATCCTGGCCAAGACAGAATCGGGACAGCTTTCGCTATTCGTCGCTCCCACGGTCAAAACCGTCCGCGGAGAAGATGGACGTGAGAAAGAAGTTACGAATGGAATTCGCATTCATCGGCTGAAGCAGAAGTTCGGTACTAAGGAACTCCCCACGGCTGAACTGGAGCTAAAGGGTGTTCGTGCACATATGGTCGGACCCAAAGACCGCGGCATCGCGACTATCGCGATGTTGTTGAACGTGACGAGAACGCACAACTTCATCACTGCTCTGTCATGTTTGCGTCGCGCGATTGAAATCTCCAAGTGCTTCGCCAGGTCGCGGAAGACGCTTGACCAGCCGCTTTGGACGTTCCCGATGCATCTCAACACGCTGGCGCAATTGGAGGTGAAACATCGGGGATGGATGCAGTTGGCCTTTTTCACTACCTCGTTGTTGAGCTATGGCGATTATGGGTTCCCGTCTTCCGTGCCCGGTCACTATGCGTTGCTTGCGAAGTCTCCAAAGTTGACTACCCTGGTCCTTAGAGCGTTGACATCGACTGCTAAGGCTGTGATCTGCAAGTCAGCGACTTTGGCATTCCAGGAGTGCCAGGAGGCTATGGGAGGTGTTGGATATATGGGTGAGTTTCCATTGCCCCTATTTAAGTGCAACATGTCAACTAACACAAGAAAGATGAACCGGAAGAGCCAGAGTCCAACGTGAGCCGGCTCTGGAGAGACACTGCCAGTAACTCCGTCTGGGAAGGAACCACCAATGTCCTCGCAAGCGAGACCGTTCGACACCTTACCCGCGGCGAGAACCTGAAGGCTTTTGGCACCTGGATCCATGACGCAGTTTTCAACCTTTACGATCCGTACAAATGCACCCTGCTGAGCGCTTGGGAGGCGTTGTATGCGAAGCTGGATGTCGCCGCGACTCCAGGTGGCCTGGCAACAGCTCTGGCAGAAGGACGGCAAATTATGTTTACACTTGCCTGGCTCATTAGCTGTATTCTACTTGCTGCTGATGCGGAGAGGGATGGTGATGAGACCGCCCATGAAGTTGCGAGAAGATGGATCTTGGAGGGTGAAGGCTTCCCGGATGAATTTGCGTTCCCGGCTATTACTCATACGTATTGGAAATTAACTCCCGAGGAGGCAGCCAAGAATGAGCGTGATGCTTGGAGGACTAACTGGGATTGCCGTATTGTGTGGGGAGTTGATCTTCCTGAGGATGCGGCGTCTGGATACCGGCCGATGGCGAAGATCTAGACCTAGACAGTATACCGGAATTAGTTACATGCATGGTTTTTTTTGGTACATATAAACTCAATGCCGTCTGAATTACCTTTCTAAGTCAGATTCATTACATATCTCCACAGAGGTACTATTTTTGCTTCCATTTCTTTCCTGCCGTCTCTCTCGGCTATCAAAGACAACACCGGTGCCTTGACGTAAAGTAGTCCACATAGGCTTTATACCAGTCAATTCGCCGATACCGAGGTCATTGTCGACTAATAGCTTCCCCTCTTCTCCAAATAGCCCCTTGACCGATGTCCCATTCCAGACACTTGGCTGCTGTTGACCGCGGGGTTCCCCATATTCCCCCATACTGACGAGAGGCCCCTGCTGCACGGCTGAACTGAAAAGTCTGGGGAAGTGGCCACGAGTCTGTGTGCTTTAAAAGAGTCCTTAAGATCATCCTTCCCGGGAAGAACTGTGAACATTCGCAACGACACTGTTCTATTCCGTCCTCAATTGCAAAGATGTTCGCGAAATTCGGAGCACGCGGGCTCCAGATGGCCCAGACCGGTCTCATCGTCGCACCATCCTTCATCCTCTTCGGCTACAATCAGGCCGGTCTCGGTCCTTTAGCCGACTTGCAGAGCTGGGTCAGCATGTTTCCCGACCTCGATACTATCAACACATCCGGGGAGCTCGAATCGCGAAATTCTACCTACAAGGGCACCGTTATCGCTTCGTTTCAAATTGGTGCTCTTATTGGAGCGCTGACGTGCACATACCTCGGAGACAGATTGGGCCGTCGCTGGTCCATCTTTATCGCGGCTATCCTTAGCATTATTGGTCAAGTGTTGCAAACGGCATCATACAGCCTTGCCCAATTTGTCGTTGGCCGCGTTATCCTGGGAATGAGCATTGGGCAATTCAACGTCACGGTACCGGTCTGGCAATCCGAGTGTTCGCCTGCCAGCAAACGCGGTAAGCATGTTGTGTTGGATGGATCGTTTATCACTTTCGGCTATACCCTATGCAATTGGATCGACTTTGGTTTGAGCAAGGCCCATGGAAATATTCAATGGCGGGTTCCACTGGCTATCTCCTTTCTCTGGTCACTGATGATTATATTTTTTGTCTTTGCTTTTCCGGAATCCCCGCGGTGGCTCGTCGTCGTGAACAAGGTTGAGGAGGCAAAGACGAGCTTGGCACAATACAGAGGGCTTCCTGTGGAAGACGAAGCGATAACAACCGAGATTGCAGGGATTGAAGCGTCCCTCGAGCTGACAAGAGAATCAACATCGCTCCGGGATATCTTCTCCAGAAAGAGCGAAGGCCGCTTGTGGTACCGGTTCTGTCTGTGTATTGCAGTGCAATTCTTCCAACAGATGTGCGGCGGCAACCTAATCTCAGTTTACGCATCAAGCCTCTTCGAAGGCCTAAACCTGGGCAAAGATCTCGGCACGGTCCTCTCCGCATGTGCTCTGACGTGGAAATTCCTCTGCAGCTTCGTCGCTTTTTTCACCATCGACTCGCTCGGACGACGGGCCGTGTTTATCTGCAGCAGTATAGGCATGTGTCTCTGCATGGCGGCAATGGCCATCACTAACAGCTTTGAAAACAGCTCGAAAGCAAATATTGCCTCCGCTGTTTTTATCTTCCTGTTCAACTCCTTTTATCCGATCGGTTTCTCAGGCGCCAACTTCCTCTATTGCACTGAAGTATCCCCGATTCAGCTCCGTGCAGCCATGTCATCCATTTCAACCGCGAATCACTGGCTATGGAACTTCATCGTGGTGATGATAACGCCTGTGGCTCTTACGACGATCAGATACCAGTACTATATCATGTACACCGTCATCTCAGCATGTATTCCAATATCTGTTTATTTCTTTTTTCCGGAAACAATGAATCGCAATCTCGAAGCGTTGAATCATGTGTTCCAGGATGCGCCGTCGGCGTGGCAGATCGTATCGATGGCTAAGCAGTTACCAGAGGGTGAGAACGTCGAGATGGCTATTCTTGAGAGGGATGTTAAGGAGGAAGGGATGGTGGAGCAAAAGGAACATGCTTGAAATGCTATATCTCTTGTCTGGGTGAAGTGAGAAGAAGAGACCGGGATTCATTTCATTTGTTGATAGTTAGCTCGGACGGCTTTGTACGTAGCGGGAAAATGGAACATGTTATCAGCCCTATATTCACTGAGGGGCATCCTAAAGAGAGCCACAGGTGCTCACATGAATTTGGTCCCTATCGATTCTTCCCTTTTACATCTCTCTCTCATTACCAGCGCTGACATTTTCTGCACACTTATAAGAAACGCCTTGATACATACCACTACAGCATCCAGTGTCTTCCTCATTCCACCTTGGTTCATATATTGCGCATTCAACTTTTGCAAGAGGAGACTTATCCTGTTCCATCGTGGGCGACCTGGATCTGCCACAAACTATTATCCAAAGGCCATATGCCTTCCACCTCACCTCCGTCGAGACAAGGCCTTTGCTGTGATTCTCGATGAGAATCTTAATTATATATGAAGAGACTATGGAAGATGAATCATAACGATTTCCTTGGTATCAAAACTTCCCACTAACATTCACTATTTTTTCACTTCGGGCTCGACACACTCGAAAGTCGAAAGTCAACAGCTTCCGCACCTCAGAGCATAGGTGCGTGTCCTGTCCGAATAAAATCCACTAGCCGACCTATCAAGTTGAACTATAAGCCATACGAACGATAGTTGTAGCTCTATATTGCCCTAACCTACCTACTACATGAAGGATTTATCTCTAATAGAAGGAAAAGACCTACCCGAAGTGGTAAACCTTCGGGGCTACCTAGTAGTGGCAGACAAAGAGCTGTGGAAGCTGCTACTCGCATAGCCAGTACCATTTTGGAGCCTTGAGTTGCCTTCGGAAGTTGAATTTTGGTGCTAAATTGCAAAATGGCAAAGTCAGTCGCTCTCGGCTCTGAGTAAATTTGAAACAGGGTTATCATTTGCCAGAAGGCGTCGTTTCTATGGGATGCTGACAACGCGGAGGGATGTTCCTTACCTATATGTGCTTTAGCTAGGCCGATATAAATCCGGTTTTTACGATCTACGAAAAGGCTAATAGCATTTTGTAACAAACGTAAGCGATCAGTGATCCTATTTTGCCACTTCTAATCGTCAGCTACATTAGGCACGGGATGCAGGACGCATTGAGAAACCTCGTCATGGCATTGGAGTCCGGCCAACAGCAAATTAATTGGTCGAGTCCCCATACCCCCTTTTCTATGTGCTCGAAAACGCTGATCGACAGTGCTTGATACCTTAGGGATTTGAATCTTAGACTTTTCACAATGCAGAGCTGCCAGAATCTAAGGGTAAAGACAACCAGATGATGAGCATAGGCAACGGCTTTTAAGAACGGTACGACCTATGAGACAGAGTTGTGAACGTGGGATATACAATCATACAGCTACTGTTCAGAGTCAGGAAAATACCAATTCTCAGCTATCCAATCCAGCTTTTGAAAGCTATATCGATAACATAGCTTGATTCCCTAGCATGCTACTGGCAGCTAGCTGATCAGCTCGTCGGATATGCGTTTTTTGATGAGATCACAATATATGCAGATGGTATAATGGATCACTCAGGCAATTCTACAAGCCACATCAAATCGAGACCGTCACGATGCCTAGATGGATGACACCAATACAGAATTTCTGGAAGATGATTCGGTATGTACTACCTTTGCCTGGCCGTACCAACAATGTTGGCATAACGTGCAACATGGAAAGAGACCGCGGATTTGAGAGGTTGATGTTGTCAGGAACACAAGCAAGGTCATATGTGCAAGCCGTATGTATTCTCTAGTAAACAACTGTCAGCAGAGTGGGCTCCAGTTACACTTCATTTGCTTGTGCCGATGCCTTAGTTGGTCGCTCGGGTGGCTCACATAGTGTGATAGAGAAGCTCTTCTGATCCTTCTTATTCCAAGTTACAGCAGTATCCGGTATGCGTTCTTGTAGAGAGCAACGATACCGTACCACACCCGAAAAAGTTTTTATGGGGTGATCAAACCAGTTCCGAAGATTGGCAGGCAGAACAGTGCGAGAGGAGCACATAGTTTGGGAAGCTAATACATGTAGAACAGAACTGCCATCAACCAGAAGGTGTCAGGCTTGTGGCTTTAGCGCATATCAGCTTAACGAGGACGTGTGGTCTCGCATGTATACACCTACAATGGTGATAACTACACTAACAAAGAGGTTAGTCGACCTCGCGCAGTCTGACTTTGTGAATGGAAAGCCGCCCTGGACAGACAGGTCCCGGCCGATGGTCTACAAACAAGGCAAGGGGAACCAGGAGGTGCCGGTCAAGAAACAGTAAAATCCTCCACAACAGCCACCTTCAGTCGAATAGATGTCGAATAAAGTCTTCATGTCGGGCATGGCCACTCTGAAGACGGTTTGGTAATTGGTGATGAAGCTGTTGACAGCGAGACTAGAAATTCTATAGAAGAAACATACATTACTTCAAAAACCTTTAAGTGATCTACAAGCGTTTACATAAAAAATAGAGTGTTTTTACACCAAACTCGACTCCAAAGAGGGGTCAATCTCCCCACAACTACTCCTAGTTAACCCCGCCAGATCGGCGTCCAAAAAGAACGACCGACTCCAAATCCATCTCTACCTCAACATACACATATCAGCCCTGAATTCCCAACTAGCCTAACCCAATCTACAACAAGTCTAACCACAGAGATGCCACTCCCAATCCGCATAGCAACCTGCCACGTCTCGCCCATATTCCTATCCGCGCGCGAGACAACCAGCAAAGCAATCTCGCTAATCGAACAATCGGCGCGAAACAACGCCAACCTAGTCGCCTTCCCTGAATCATACATTTCCGCATTCCCAGTATGGAGTGCAATACGCGCCCCTACAGAGAACCACGATCTGTTCAAGCGCATGTCACAGGAGTCGGTCTACGCGAATGGGGAAGAGCTCCGCGCGGTCCGCGCAACGGCCAGGAAGCATAACGTGATGGTCAGCATCGGCATCTCGGAGAAGGTGCATTCGAGTATTGCGACGTTATATAACTCGAATATGATCATCGGGAGCCAGGGGGAGGTGCTTGTGCACCACCGAAAGCTTGTTCCGACATTCTTCGAGAAGCTGACTTGGTCTCCAGGCGATGGGCACGGGTTGCGTGTTGCCGACACATCGTTTGGGAAGATTGGAAACTTGATTTGCGGCGAGAATACAAATCCTCTCACGAGATATGCACTCATGGCACAGGGTGAGAATGTCCATATCTCGACTTGGCCGGCTATATGGCCCACGCGCTCTCAGCCAACTCCGACGGCTGGTGGAAGCGCCCCCGAAAGACAGGATGGTAACAATGCACAATCCACTGTGGCGCACAAGAACTACGACAATGTCGCCGCTAACAGAACACGCGCGGCCGCGCATTGCTTCGAGGCAAAATGTTTTGGAGTCCTATGTGCCGGTGTTCTCGGAGATGATGCTATTGCAGAGATAGCGGTTGGCTCATCTCGTTTGAAAGCAATACTCGAGCAGTCTCAGCGTGGTGCGAGTATGTTCCTTGATCCTACGGGTGCTCATTTACCGGGATTCACTGTGGATGACCGGACTGGGAAGCACGAGACTACCGATTACTTGCAGAACACTGAAGGTATCTTATATGCCGACGTGAACGTCGAAGATTGCATTGAGGGGAAACAGTACCATGATGTTGTTGGTGGGTATCAGCGGATGGATGTGTTTGACCTGGCCGTTGACAGGACTCGTCGATACCCCGTGAGGTTCTCCGAGAGGGTTCAGCCTGAACCAGCAAGTGAGGAAGAAAAAGCCACTGGTGGTAGTGAGGAGGATGGGGAACTATAGTGATGCGCCCAGTAGCGGAATGAACGGGAATTGCGGGAACAGCGGATGGGACTTCAGTTCCCCCGTTAGGGTTTCGGAACCAAAAGTAGAGCCGACCGTTTTTCTTCAAATGATATCGTCGAAGAATACTCCACATAAAGATTCGGTGGATATTGACAACCCATCAATCACTTGCATGCGTATGTCAGCCCATCAAAACGCACCCTTAAAGCGGTGGCAGTAAAATATACCTACCTCAAGTAGCAGTTATCCTACATCTCTTTCCATTCCACCATAGAGAATAGTCCGCTCTTCCTTCCGTCAAATAATCTACATCAACGCATCTCCCAAGGAGGAATGGGACGCTGTAACCGGCCCAGAAAGACCCGCCAATTTCTGGGGCAATGCCCGGTTCACCATGGTCCCCATCAGTGGGAATGGCAGATCCGATCTCGAAGGAACTGTTATCGAGAGTACTCCTCCCAGCCATCTTGCTTTCACTTGGACTGTCCCGGGGGAAAAGCGTCCTTATGGGCCTACGGCAGTCAAGATGGCTTTCTTCGGTCATGAAAGTCTGGTCCGGCTTACATTGGTCCATGATAATTTTGCTGATGAGCGAGAGCGGGATCTCACTGCGGAGGGATGGGCGGCGGTTTTGTCTAATCTCAAGACGTACCTTGAGACGGGTCGGCCTCTTCTGGAAGCGCCATGGCGTGTACCTAAGTCTTGATATTGATTGCTGGGATGGTGTTGGGTGGTATTGCCTGTGCATTGCTGGGCTTCCTATGTACAGCGAGAGTACGAGTATGTACGACCTTGTTAGCAAAAATTTGGTCATCTTGAAGAAAAAGCCGAAATTTCCGATCGGACTCTTTGAAATATCTGAGTTCTATCCCGACTGGGGGATATTCGTATCAATTTATATCCTAGACGAATATATTTGACGGAGATCGGGGATCCTGGAAGAGGCTAGACGTAAAAGACAGAGTATTATACACTCCACTTATGCCTCTTCCTCTTTATCGCCATATTCAGGTTGCCGCTCAGTCCATACCTCAATATCCTCCACCTCGATCTCGATCCGCCAGTCCCCTCTCCAGGCAGTAGCAGGATACACCGGCTCATGTTGTCCAGAGACACTGTGAGACACAATCGCCCTCTTCAAGTCCTGCTGCAGCACTAGTGCAACACCATTCCTCTTCTCCCCAAAGACCAGTTCGCCTCCATCCAGCTCACGACCAGGTCGGGTGGTATTCCACGAAAAGCGTACTGGATTGGACTGAGTTGGAACAGGAACTTTTGCACACTCTCGAATTCAGGATCAGGTATGTAGTAGCCATACACGGACTTCTCTCCGGTCTGTGAACTCCTTCCTGAGACGAGAAGGGCAATTGCAGCGGTGGGCAATGCGTCTAGGTCGTCTGCCAGGGCCGAAGCCGTGACGGTCATGTCACTGACGTCGTAGGATTTGGGCGGTTTGATACAGATGCAGTACCATGAAAAGACGCCAATGGAGCTCATTTGCGCCAGAATAGGTAGGGTGGCCACTTTTCCTGGCTGAGGGAGGTCGATGGTGATTTCGTCATCCTCGAGGTGTCTGTAGAACGGTCCCAAGGATCGGGACGGGATGGTCTTCAGAGCCGGAAGGGGTACGTCCAGCGTCAGATCGGGTGTCCCATTGGTCGCGGTGATGTCGGCCTTGATGTTGTGATCGTCCATCCCCAGATTGATGTTGGCGAGCCATTTGGGGAATTGGTATCCGTATGCACCTCGTACTCGAGCGATCTCGGTATCGACGGGTAGAGCCAACACGTATCCGTAGAAGGTTCGGTTCCATATGGAGCTGAGCAGTTGGGTCGTACTGTAACTACCTTTACCCGGCTGACGGACGACGACGGCTATCGAAACCTCGTTGTAAGGATCGTTGTCGCAGACGAGGTACGAGTAAAACGTCAACGCGACCAAGCCATAACCGGGCAATTGGATTCAAGAGGGAATGGTCCGGGTTGAAATTGATATAGCTTACAGATTCAAAGACGTCGTGGCGGCGTTTGAGAAACTTCGGTCCGGGAGATCGAGAGGCAAGATCATCATCCACGTTTCGGAGAAGCCTTAGTCTGAGTGTGAAGCTTCCTTGAATGTTATTGTATTGCGCCAACTCTATACAGAAGCCATTTTAACTATATAGCCGTAGTATATACACATACTATCTTTATCAGGTCATTGGCGACAATGAGCTATCTGCGCCAGGTATTCTGGCTGTGGTGTTCAAAGCTATTTCGAACTGTAAAACACCGCCTGGAGATTGAGACTATGACAGCATAAATGGTAGGCTGTTACATCGGCAATGTAGCGGTCATCCGACAAACATATGAGGGTCCGAATGCCTGAATCATCTAGCAATGAAAACGTTATAAAATATATGAGAAACTCTGCAAAAATGGGGTTGTATTCGTCATACTGAGACTGAATCATAAATAACATGATATATAAGCATAAAAGGAGCAATTGGCGTTGGGTCAATGATGTGGAATCTCCTAGGTCCGAAATAGTGGTCATTTTTGTTGACAAGAAGGCAGAAATGTGTCGTTGCCACATCGGCCCTATTAGGTAACTAACCCCAACCTAAGACTCTCCTACAACTCGGGTGAGACTCGCGACTACCAGGTGAAATTAGGGCCCCACGGGTAAAGAAATATTATCGACAATGGGAGGTTGGCATATCTACCTACATCTCGAACTGCACTATTAAAGTAATCAAGGGTATTCCTCCTCCCTTACTTATGGCATAAATGCCAGAATCCTGGAGCGTTAACAGGATGGAACAAGTGAGTCCTATAGATGATCCTGGGTGATAGTTGCGGGGCTGATTGTTATTAATATATTAGTGTCTCTTTACAGCAGTAAGTGCCTCATGGATCAATTTACATGTAATACAATATGCCATTCGCAGCATTTTTAACCAACTATCGGCAACCTGTCAGGGACTGAAACTCTGAAACCAAGTAAAGGGCCAGGAAAAAACGACCTTGTAGACTATGGCTGGCCCTACTCCTCAACAACTTTGATAACTGCTTTCCCAAGGCCACCGCGGCCACTGTAAACGACCTGGCACAGATCCTGGACAGCTTTAATGTCCCTCAGGTTGGCGGTCGTCCCCACAACCGTCCTCAGCTTACCAGATTCAACGAGCTCCCTCAGCTGATCCAAGTCTTTGCCGCTCGATTCAAGAAACATGTATGAGTAGGTAACACCATAGCGCCATGCCCGAAGCTTCCGGACATTGTCCATCAGGTTCAGGGCAAGCCGCATTGGCAGCGGAAGGACTGGCCGGTGGGGTAGTTGCATTAAAGAAGAGGCCTGAAGCTGATCACCTGATGGAGTGGTTGAAACAGAAATAATACAACTTGTGTTAGGTCGCATCAAGCTCAGATACGGCATGGAGGATCCAACTGTATCAAACAGGAAGTCAATTGTGCCGGGTTGGATAGCATTTTTGGGATTGACTTTGGTGTAGTCAATAACTAGAATAGGTGAGCTATCTTAACCCCAAGGGAAGTTCCACAAGGTGAAGGGGCCATACTCTCATCCACAGTACCCTCCCCCAAGAGCTCTTTCACCTTGGGGATCTTGGAAGTCGACACTGTCGTGATCACTTTACCAGCTTTAAATGCGTGCTTGGCCAACTGACAAGCAAATAAGCCCGTTCCACTCACTATTGTAGGTTTAGTAAAGCAGAAATATAAGGGGACTAAACATACATACAACCAGCAGGTACAAATACAGTTTTCCCTGTGAGATCACCATTGTATCTTCTTAGCGCTTGGAGAGCTGTCATTGCCGCCAGTGGAATAGAGGCAGCATCAACAAATGAAAGGGAAGGCGGCTTTAGAGCAACATATTGCTCTGGGCATTTCGCAAACTCGCTGCATGAGCCTAACGATCATATGTCAGATATAGTCAACTCTGCAGAACATTGAATAGTAGTTAGGTACCTCGAGAAGCCTCTGGGAGCCGAGTGTACACCTCATCGCCGACGTTGAGATGACTCACGCCAGCGCCGACCTCTGCCACAATACCGGCACAATCATAGCCAATCTTGTATGGAAACCTGATGATATGATTAGGATTCCTGTTATTATGGCTGTTCAGGGAACACTCTCACTTGTCCTTGAGCCCCATTTTCAAAATACCGCTCGCCTTTTTAACATCAATAGGATTAATGCTGGCGGTGTGAACCTTGATGATCACATCATTGCGGTCGTCAAGCACCGGTTTTGGCAGGTCTGAAACCTGGTACCCCGAGGGCGGCGAGTACTTCGTCGTATTGAGAGAGAGCATCTTATCCTGAAGGCTGGGTGATGGCAAAAAAGAGGCCACTGGAGAATGGAGCTTAAAACATATAAAGTACTTAGTGAACTGTGAGGCAAAGGAAGGTGGTGGATACATGAATCTCGGCCTCGGCCCTGCGTGGCGGGACCAGCCGTGCACGGCCAGCGATCGGAGCAACAAACTATCCGGCAGATCCTATTGCGGCTATGGGAAAATGTTAAATTTTTTTTTTTTTTTTTTTTTTTTTTTTTGAGTGTTCCCAATAACCCAGGAAAAACTACTTGGCTCCCGAACTGCCGGGGTTTTACCTCGGTATAGAGACATTCACTATTATCATGGGCATTTCGGTACAACAATTGAGCCGCATGGAGAATGGATCCAGCCACAGAACATGTTATAATATATGATGAAAGTCAAGGTGGATCAATAGTTGGTCCGATTACCGAGGCCGACAGACCTCTCATATACGGACACACACACATTCGGTTTAGATAGCCAAGCACTCGTTCCATCACCTTTGGGTCTATAGAGATCAATGTCATCCTCCTTGTGTAATTAAAATTCGTCGCCTACAGCCTCGTGCAGTCCGGATAATCGACTCCCCCGATTTCCCCGATACGGAGTTTTAACCGCTACATTGGTTTATCCGTTTCAATATACAAACAACATGCAGGTCCACCGGCGCTTCAGGCAATAACACTAAGTCCATGTTCATTTCCGTGATCAAAATTCCACGTATACTATAGCCTGGGATTCAATTCCGGCCGCTTTTTACCAAGTCCAATATCGACACTATGGCATTTGATTCCCTCGCATTCTACTTCAAGTTGCGCATCCTGAGGTGGATAACTTGGATTCTTGCCTGGCTGGATCGAAGAAGACATCCCGCCTTATCACTTATTCCAAGTTCTCGGGAAACCATCCCGGCGACTCTCCTCGCCTCACCCAGCAATTTCAAGATCTTTTTTTATCACCCTTCAAGCTATAACTAGGGGACTACCAAAGAAGCGCAATACCCTATCGTGATAGTTCTCCATAGAGGAGGTTAGTGTGTAGGGCACGCCCGCGATGACGAACGTTTCATTGCCACACTTACAGCGCGTGGTGCTGTCGTCGCAGCGGTCAACTATCGCCTCTCATCTGAGCATCCCTATCCTGCTCCTCTGGAAAATTGTCTTGATACTATACTCTACATCTGGAAAAATGCTGCCGCCATGGGAATTGACAAACACCGCACATATATCACCGGCTTCAGTGCTGGGGGTCAGATGGCGTTTGCCTCATTATTCATGCTTTGGAAGGCGTTGCAATATGAAGACCTACGGATTGACCGTGCAGCACTGGGCATGGTGAAGGGCATAACAGCATTTTATCCGCCAATGGATCTAACAAGAACCCGTGCTGAGCGGGCTGCCTCGAACCCAGCATTTGTTACCCTAAAGAAGAAGTCCATTTCTTCTTCCAAGTTCATCGGTTCCATTTTTGACCAGGCCTACTTTTGGAAACTTCCGTAAATGCCAGAAAAAGGTCATATGTACATTTCTCCGGGGCTTGCTCCTCCGGACATGATCAAGATGGCCTTACCAGAGCGGATATTCTTTAAACTTGCTGGCTTGGACCCCTTGTTGGATGAGGGCAAAACCGCAGCTGGTCGGTTCAAGGCTGTAGGAAAGCAGGTTGATTGTGGTATTGCTGAGGATGTACCGCACTATTGGGACCAGAATATCGAAAAGTTACTATTTCGGCCAATCGCCTTTGCCAGACTCCGAATTTACACTCCCGTAGTGGACTTGGTAACTTTCTTTCCCCGATTCTTGAACCCCCACGAGATCTGCCAGATAAGCACCGCAGTTGGAATCACAAACAGTAAAATCCAGACAAGGGCAGATAAAAACAATATGGCAATAGAGAAAACCCAGAAGATCTGGCTCATTAATTGTGTCCCATAGGCACTCAAGAGTCCAAGCTCATTGTTGGTGGACGACGACAGGAGGACTTGCATGGAAGACAGCACAAGTGATATGCTGGCAAATCCAAATATCAGAGGGGCGGCGATTCGTTGTAAATACGTCTGTATAGACCAGTATGGTACCTCATAGAACCAGACCGTGCTTGCACTTGCTGGTTGAAACAGCCGAATAGCCCAGTTCAACCGTGAGAGGCGCAACTGACCGTAGTGGTATCGTTTAGCAACCTGAGTATCCTCACAATCCCGAAAGTACTGAATAAATTGGCACCATGAATTCCAATTGATATTCTCCGGAATAAGGTGACAGTCGTGTGCAAGTGCAAAATCCGAGTGATGCCTGACCAGGTGGGCATATGACCGGACAAACCCCAATGCAACTAAACGCCTATTGGTACCCACATGTGCCTGGGGGGACTTTCTATCATGTGATGATGATAGGTGTACTGTCCAGAAACCATGACTAAGAAAGCACTCCGGCAATGGCTTTATATAAAATTTGTTGTGGTCCCAAACAAGATGTAGTTGGGGGTTTTCAACTGGCACAATGTCTCGTCCTTTTACCTTCTGTTGGTGAAGTGGGTCGATATTTGCTCCGGACTTCCTGGCTACGAGCCAGAGCCTTGGATATAGCTCATCCAGAATGGGCGTGTTCAGCTCCTGAGCAAGAAATTCTTCGACATCATTCTGGTCTAGGGAGACACTTGGCTGACCAGGAACGCGGTCTGGATAATCGGTGATTATGGGACTTAGCGCTGCCGTTACAGGGAAAGGAGCCTTTAATGCAGTAGAGCTGGGCATATTGATTAGGTTCATGCATTTATCAGATCACTTAATTCTGAGATGAAGGCTCGCGATGGAAAGTCAAGACTGTTGCTTAAATACCCTTCAGCTGAGCTGAGATTAGCCGCCGGGCATAGACAGTTGGCAAGGCAGACACGCATAGGCTTAGCTGAGCCTCGTGAAGAAAAAAAAAAAAAAAACCACTTTGACATCGATGACCACCCAGCTGAAAATATCTATTTATCCACCACACTCTCTCTACCAGAACCCTGGTATATTTCATTTAATATTGAAATTCCTTTTTTTTTTTTTTTTTGCGGGAAATACTCAGGCCCAAATCAGAAGCCAAAACTTGCGGTCCGCTTTTGCTACAAAGCTTGAAGTTTGCAGAGATCATGGCTGTATTGATGGTCGCATTGTATCTCCTATTTTTCATCATATCAGCGGCGTTTCTCTACAACCAAGCAGCAAAAAATATCCCCTCGCGACGGAACGCTGCGCAGGCACCAAGATCGAAGTTTGGTATTGTGAAGGTGAAAAAGGATAACCTTGGCTTGCGTTCTCGCGCTGGTGGTGTAGAGTGAGTTATATGCCTTGGTGTCCACATTCAGAGATGTGTTGACATTTTTCTGGGCAGTGTCATATTTGTTCATGGTCTTGGGTCGAACCCTGATACAACCTGGAGAGCAGAAAAAGCCCAAGAAGAGTCTCATTCCAGACTGAATAAAGAATATGTTTGCTGGATCACGGACTTCCTTCCAGAAGATATCCCTTCACCACAACGCGAAGATGTGCGACTCTTTTTCTACAACTATGATTCATTCTGGCAGAGGGATGCTGTACAGACCCGACTGTATAGGCTAGGAGCCGAAATGTTAGAGAGGATTAGGCATATTCGGGAGAAAGAAGAAGTCGGTAAAAGCAAAAAACTCATTCCTACACCAACTAATAGATTGGTTTGCTAGGAGCACGACCGTGACTTGATCTTTGTCGGACACAGCTATGGGGGCCTGGTCATCAAAGAAGTATATATTAAAGCACCACCAGCGATCTTGCAACCCATCACGACTAACCGGCTTAGGCTCTTATTCAGGCCAACGCAAACAAAGAATCTACTGACATTATTGAGCATGTAAAAGCGGTCCTCTTTTTAGGAACTCCGCATCGTGGCTCAAACTTTAGCAGCTGGGGCAAGGTGATAGCTAGTCTCCTTCAGCCGCTCAGCTCTAATCCATCTATCCTGGGAGAACTCACTTATGATTCTCTATCTCTGCACGACTTGCATGACAGATTCATGAAAGTTGCGACCAAAATCCAATATATTGCCAATTTCTTTGAGCAGCGTAAAACACGGATCCTCAAAGTATGGTGGTTTCACTGGGAAGAATTTGTAAGCAACTAAGACCCTTTGCTATACAAGGTCTGACAAATTTTAGTGTGTTCGGGAACAATCCGCCACTTTTAGTATCCCGAATCAGCTCACTCAGGTCAAAAATATAGGCCTCACTGTGGATCATTATGGCTTGAATAAATTTCAATCCCGAGAGGGCAATTTTGAAATGATTTTCGAAGAGCTTTGGGGGGCGATTAAGCCAGTGCTCGCGCAGCGACAGCGTTCCCTATATTCAGTGCCCATTCAACCAGTGAGAAGCTTTACAGAGCGAGCCGCTCTTTCCAAAGAAATTGAGGAAAAGCTACAACAGGATTCCTTGGATCGACCTCGACCGCATGCAGCCGCTATTTGTGGGCCTGGCGGCACCGGCAAGACTCAGTTGGCATTAAAGTATATTGAAGACAACAAAAACAAGTTTAACCCGATACTGTGGGTCGATGCCGAGGATGAGGAGACAGCACGGACGAGTTTTGAACAATGTGCCACTGTACTCCAGATTCCAGTAGATCGAACCTTAGGGCAGGGGTCGCATCCAAGAGATTCGCCCACCGTACAGGCTGTGCGTCGGTGGCTTCAACACTGTAAAGAATCAAATGAAGAGTGGCTAGTGGTTTTTGATAATGTTGACAACATGACCTGGGGCGTTTTCGACATACTACCTCGAGGTCAGAGAGGGAATATCATTATCACTAGCCAAGATGAACAATCGTGGAAGCTCCTCGATGGCTGTGAGAAAGTATCAGTCGAAATAATGAATCCCCTCGAGGCGAGGGGTCTTCTTTTTTGGCACCTCAATCTTGGTCATCAACCAGTAGACCAGGACACTAAGGACTTATGTGATCAGGTAGCGGAGCGGTTGGAAAATCTACCTCTAGCAGTTGATCTTGCAGGGGCATATATCGCAAATGCTTTGGATTCACAACCAAATCCACAATCTGCGCTCACACAGTACTTGGATTACTATGCGAAACATCAGAACCGGCTGTTGCGGAACAGTCGGTACAATGGTCTCTCGAGCTATGGAAAAACAGTGTGGACAGTCTGGGATACAACATTGCAGAAGATAGAGGAGAGGTACTCCGGTCGACATTCAAAGCTTTTGCTCATATTCCTGGGCCACTTTTCAAGCGGATTTGTTCAAGAAGAGCTGTTCAGGCTCGCAAGTCTTGGATTTGCCTCTGTTCAGCATGATATCTTTGCAGGACATGAAGATTTCCCTGACTGGCTTAAGGAATTTTTAACCATCGACGGGGATAGGTGGGACGACTTTTATTATGGAGAAGCGCTTGAGCCGCTGATCAACTACGGTCTCCTCAGGTCAGTGAAGGAGGAGTGGTCTGGTGTCAGAATGCATAGCCTGGTTCGATGGCGAGCGATGCAGTACAAATATGACTATCAGGAGCCATGGAACAGATGGCACATGGAATTTATGCTGGGAGCATGTCATGAGCTGTTGAAGGATACTGCCAAGCCGCAGTTTCGAAGGCATATAGTCATCCATATACCGCAGACTAGTCCGTCTTCGATTAAATCTATCAATGAAGAAGGCAGAGCGAAGATGTGGGACATATTGGGTAAGACCTACAATGGCGAAGGCCGGTATGAAGAGGCAGAGGTAATGCATCAACGAGCACTAGGAGGGAGAGAAAAGGCGCTGGGGCCAGAGCATCCGAGCACACTGGTCAGTGCCATCAACCTCGGCAGGGTCCTTGAGAGGCAGGGGAGATATGAAGCGGCAGAGGCAGTCCGTTGGCACCACCTTACTGATCAACAACAGGTGTGATGTATTGCTAAGAATTGCTATCTGAAATACTCTCCAATATTTTCTAATCTCTACTTAAAAGGAGGGTCTGGGATAGCTGAACATTATATATTTCTCCAGTTTGCCATAAATTCGAGCAATTTCTACCTGGTTCTCAGATGGTGTGGCAAGTTGCCACTATTTTTGGAGGTGCTAAACCTTTCTGCTACCTCCGTGGGCGAATATTTCGGTCAATTGAATCGAGCATGGGAATAAACCAATATATCTGAAGTGTCGACATTAAAGTTTTCACTCTGTTACAGTTCCAGAATGCACAATACAGGTATGATATGGCTATTTTGTTATATTACAGTTTAGTACAATACATAACATACTTGAAATATTAGCTAGCATGTCGGCAGTGGCGCTGAGAAAGAGTCAAAGAGTGTACACAACGTAGAAGCCGAACCTGCAAGGCACTGTAACACGCACATATTGCTGATTCTCTGATTTTGCCCAGTATAGTTTGGACTCAGCCAGCCCCTGTTAGAGCTCACTCACCTTTCTGCCTGTCACCATTCCTCCCATTTTGCCCACTTATTTATGGCCCTGTTCACTTTAAGCAAATTCTTACCCTTGCCAGACTTGACGGTAAACTAAAATCAATGCGAAACAGAAAGGGAAAAAAAAAAAAAAATAACTGTAGACCCTGTTTGTGACGGCTCAACGGCTCAATGCCAGACAAACAGCGCCAACATATCAAACGATGCCATACAAGCAATATGGGCAAACAATGGCTTAAGCCGCACCACACAAATGTCTATAAAGACCGTTCATCGCCTAGATAGATTTCCTTTTCTTCTCCTCCCTCAGATTCGATATTCTCGTCGATGGCTACAATAGTCTAGATAGGAATTCAATTCATTAATATCTGCTATTCCGAGCCCGTGACACTGTTCTACCTTGCCTATTCTCACACACAGACTGACCTAACCCTAACCTGGAATGTTTCTGCCGGTTATTTTCATACTGCAATCGCCGTAGATGCCCAGTCACTAGGGTGGGCCAGATACACATCTTCCCGCCGGCTCCATTGCCGATTTTACCCAGTTGCTCATTCCTCTATTATTCTCCTGATGACCCATTGACCCCCCTCTTCCTGTTGCTGCTTTAACCAGAGCGGGTCCTATCCAAGTGTTTCCTCAGTATCTCCATGGTGGCGTACGGGCTGGCTTGGCAAGCTGGGTGGTCTTTGGGGAGCCGGAGAAAAATGCGGGAGGGTTTCTCCAGTTGTGATGGCTTGTACGGGGTCTTGGGTGGTTTGGGGTGTGTCTTGGGGGTGTTGGGTGAGGTTCTCATCACTTCAGCGTAGCTGTTATGCTTTGAGGGGGGTTGGTGGTTCTTGTTCTCTTTGGTGGGGAACTCAGTTGCGAGGCTCTTGCTGAAATTGAGGACCAGGGACCTGATGTCCCTGCCCAGGGAGGCTGCTCCTTGTAGGCCTTTCTCTTCCCAGTTAGTCACTTTCTGGCTGACTGCGGAGACCAGCTCTAGGACTTCCTCTCCTGTAGACTTTATCTCTGCGGTGCGTGTGGCCACTGCTGCTGCGATGTGGCTTTGGAGTTCCAAGCCTAGCTGGCTTTGGGGAGCTTCGTAGGAGGGGGATGCAGGGGGCGTATCCCGGTCGGGCTGCCAGTTTTTGGGTGTAGGGGGTGCCTGTATATCCTTTCCCGGTGTCTCTGGTCTCGGTCGTTTGGGTGGTCGCTTCGGGGTGGTGGGCTCACGGGGGGAAGCGGTCGGAGTCTCGTGGGCGCCCGGGGCTTCCCCCAGCACCCAATCCAACCAACTATCCACACACACCAAAACCTTGCTTCCAGCACGTGAGAGGTATACACGTGACCAGACCGTCACAGCCCAGAGCTACCAGGGCTCTGCTACAATTCCTAGCCAGCATCAGCATAGCTCTACCCCAGGGGCACCTACAGCGGGCGGCAGAAAGAGCCTGGAAAGATGAGAAATGAGGACTGGAAGCATTGGAGGAGGCAAGTAGAACAGGAGAAGGGTAGCAGGGAGGGTAGCCTAAGCTGAGGTTCAGCCTAGGCCACACCCACCCTGCTTCAAAAGCACAAGGCGAGCACTCTGCTCAAAAGCCCTGCACACACAGGCGGCTTGGGGCGAGGAAAATGATCAGAAAGATTATGGAAGGGGGTGTTTCCTCAGGAATTCATAGGTACAAGAGGCAGCAGATTAGCTGCCGGCCTCGGGTTCGTGGAATATGGTCTGTCATAGCTTTAGAGCTCGATATGGACAATAAACTTGATTAAATAATAATAACAATACTTACGTGAACAGTATCATTTCTTCTTGGCATTGATTCCTTGTATGTGGTACATAGTATAGTACTGTAAACTACCAGCCCCCACCCCACGGCTCTTCGCCAAAGCACCCATAACAATCTATTGAGTAGTGGTTCACGGCTACATTTGGGCAGCCTCCTCGAATGTTTTCAGACAGAAGACTGGAGTTCGGTGATGAGTCTCTCGATGCGGTAACGAATTTCGTGACGGATAGTCCGTACAGCATCTAAGCCTTGCCCGGCGGGGTCGTCAAGTTGCCAGTCGAGGTAGCGCTTGCCGGCGAAGAAGGGACAGGCGTCGCCACAACCCATAGTGATGAGAACATCGCTGGCTTGAACCGCGTCGGTAGTGAGAATCTTGGGTTTTTGGTTGCTGAGGTCAATGCCTTCTTCGCGCATAGCTTCAATGACGATGGGATTGATGGAGTCGGCTGGTGGCCGGCCCGGCAGAGCGGACTTTAATGGTGTCGCCAGCGAGATGAATGAGGTAACCGGCGGCCATTTGGGAGCGACCAGCGTTGTGGACGCAGACGAACAAGACGCTGGGCTTAGCCATGATGTGCCTTTCTAGTGATCGGTTGGGCAGTCGTTGTGGAGCGGTTCGTTGAATGTGAGGGACGAGATTGTCAGGATAGCAGTACTTGGCGGGTATAAGTGACATATGTCTCTTAAGACAACCATGAAACGAGAAAAGAATTCATAGGCGATGCCTCATTTCTCCTACGAGGAATTTTGCAAGAGACTGAATGAGGCAGCACTTGGGGTTTATATACCACGCGGTAGCTTGCAAGAGAGGGAACTCAACAATCCATTGATCTAGAACATTCTCTCATCTAGCGGAAAAAGGCTATTTTTTATAAAGCCTCATTCACAAAAGGCCGTTGCCCACAGCTTATAATAGCGTTGACTAAGGAGGTCTATGAGATAGTCACAGTGTATGCAGAAGTCGCATCCTAAATAGAGCCAACGTTGCCAGATTTGAAATCAATGTCCGGTCATTTGAATAATCTCAAACCTTAGGAATTAAGCAATATATACTGGCAGTAGGCGGTCAGACTCTGTTACGAGGTCGATAGGACCCTGCTATTGAATACCGTTCTGACATGAGGAAAGTTCTGGGTTACCTTGTGATAGCAATCTGCATGTCACTCGAATACTATGACTGGTCGAAGTTTTGGAAGAAAAATAGGGACTGCATTTTCATTCATAATGGTCCTCTGAATAAGGTTGAACAGCATAATGACTCGTTTTGACCTCATTTAGCTTGGTACCATTTCAACCACAGGTTACTTGCCACTCTTCAAATGGCCACTTAAGGCCCTCATTGACCTTATCAATACTTTCGTAGAAAAAGTAAAGTAACACCCGTTTAGAACAAGTTCAGAGCCTCGGAACCTTTCATGCCAATCACAAAGCAAGGGCTCGCCTAGAATATTGCCAGTATGTCACTGCTTGGTGGTGATTGGTCAAGGGTAACAAAGTGTCACTCATATGGTTTGGTTGGCCATCTAAATGCCCTTCCTGACTTAATTAGGACTAGCGCTTATTCTCAGCCCTTCAAGGAAAGAGCTCAGAATCTACATATATTGCGGACGACTCCAGCTAGCCAGGGGTTTCCCGCAAATCACTGACGTGCTGTTCAATTGTCCTTCGAGATTTCCATTGAGAACAACACCTTCGCAGAAATCAAACCATCATACGCTAGTTGGTGCTGGAGATGGCCGCCCCAACTCAGACAGGTCTGTCCCCGACGGAGGAACAGCAATATCATAACACAATATTGGATAATCAGCCGCCAATTCCTACAGCCGAGGATATTGAAAAGCAAAAATCGGAAGAAACCACGGCCAAGCAATCAGCCTTCAAAGGTCTTGGCTGGCTAGATCGTTTTCTGGTCGTATGGATCTTCCTTGCCATGGCTGTCGGAATCATCCTGGGCAATTTTGTCGAAGACATGGGTCCAGCCCTGCAAAAGGGGAAATTCGTTGGGGTGTCTATTCCAATCGGTATGTACACATGAAACTGTGATTAAATCAGGCCTCGGCTAACCGGTGCAAGCGATCGGTCTCTTGGTCATGATGTATCCCATTCTTTGCAAAGTGCGGTACGAATCTTTACACTATGTCTTCCGAGAGCGTGGGATCTGGATCCAGATTGCGTTCAGCATCTTCGTCAATTGGATTATTGCTCCTTTCTTGATGGTAAGACTTATTTGACTCGTCATGGTGATGCGTGCTGATATTTCATGTTCCAGCTGGCACTCGCATGGGCCTTCTTGCCAGACGAGCCACAACTTCGGGAGGGCTTAATTCTCGTTGGATTAGCCAGATGCATCGCTATGGTAGGCTACCCGCTTTCTATGTTGTACCCGAGTCAGACTAATATATTCTTGTTAATAGGTTCTTATCTGGACCGGTCTCGCTGGCGGTGACAGTGAATACTGCGCTATTCTTGTTGCGGTCAATTCACTGCTGCAGATGGTGCTCTTCGCTCCCATGGCCATTTTCTTCATCAAAGTCATTAGCCACTCGGGTAGTCAAGTTACATTATCTTATTCTACCGCTGCCAAAAGCGTGGCAGTGTTCCTTGGAATCCCCCTAGGTGCCGCAATCGTCACCCGCATTACCCTTCGAAAAATCGCTAGCCCACGTTGGTACGACCAGGTTTTCCTGAAGTGGGCTGGCCCGTGGTCACTTCTTGGGCTTCTCTTCACGATCCTTGTGTTGTTCGCATCTCAGGGCCGCCAGGTGGTTCATCAAATTGTATCAGTAGTCCGAGTTGCCGCTCCTCTCATCGTTTATTTTATTATTTTCTTCTTCATCACTCTTCTTGTGACTTACAAGCTCGGGTTTGGTTACAAGTTGGCTGCTACTCAAAGTTTGACCGCGGCTAGCAATAATTTCGAGCTTGCCATTGCTGTCGCTGTCGCAACGTTTGGTGCCAACAGCAATCAAGCGCTTGCCTCCACTGTCGGACCGTTGATTGAGGTTCCGGTACTGCTTGGCCTTGTCTATGTTGTCAAATTTATAGCCAAGCGAGTTGACTGGAAGGACTGAAGCGAAAGGCAAGAGAAATATTCATATCTTGCGAATTTGTTGCATATCCGGAACTCTCAAGGCTATGTTAAACTGAAGGGACCAATATGGAAGAGGCTAGAGGCATACGGACCGTTAGTTACAGGTAGTATACTTAATAATCAATTTCGGTCAAAAATTCGTCTTGGACAAGACTTTACATGAGCCACATGGCGTTCCGGGTGTAGGGATTGATGTCTGGTCTGGATAAATCCGGTGACATACCTATGCATTCTTCTAATTTCCATTGTTGGCCACGGGTGAATAGAAGCTCTTTTGTGCTTATGGATCAGCCTTGGTTGTCGGTTCCGAGGCACTAGTATTCTGGTTTGGGGCATTTGGGGCCATGACTTCTCACTTGATGAAAATCCTTTTCGGTTTGGGGAGAATCCGGTGACATATTGGATTGGCAGTGACACTTCTTTGACAAACGGTGATATACCAGGCAGCATGCACTGCCAAATCAGCGGAAGGAATGACGAATATCCGCCTGTCTCGATGCTATAGACATGACATCGCCAGGATGGCTCTTTAATAACACAGATAATATATAATTAGACTTGATCTCTTTCAAATTCAGTTTCTCAATGCTCACAGCACAGTCCTTCTCCATCTCCGCCCTGCTGAAACTGAAACCATGAATTTCGAAGATACCTATCATTCTGTGCAAGAGCGCTACGCAGGCGTTGCAAAACAGGCCGGCCCTGGTCATCAAAGGGCCTATGAACACAAGGTCGCAACCGCATTTGGATATAATGTAGAGGATTTGCGCTCTATTCCGGACAACGCGAATCTAGGTGTCAGCTGCAGGAATCCATTAGCAACAGCAAATATTGGAACAGTAGGGCACAGCCACCGGTCTCCCCTTAGTGCTGGTACTAATATCCATATATAGGGCGAGACTGTGGTTGATTTGGGTAGTGGCGGGGGAATCGACGTTTTGTTAACTGCAAAGAAGGTTGGACTAGAAGGAAAGGCCATTGGTATTGATATGACGAAGGTACACCAACCCATTCTTGCTAACCTATCTGTACTCGTTACTTAAACTTGGCAGGACATGCTGGAATTGGCACGTCGAAACGCGAAAAATGCTGGCGCCTCCAATGCAACTTTTATTGAGGCTTGCATTACTTCTATCCCGATGCCGTCATCCACCGTTGATTGCATAATCAGCAACTGTGTGGTAAATTTGGTGCCGGAAGCCAAGAAACCGCTTGCTTTCCAGGAGATGTTCCGCCTGCTGAAGCCGGGAGGTAGGGTTGCAATCAGCGACATTCTGGCAAAGCGAGAGCTTCCGATGGAAATTAAGACAGACCTTTCCTTGTATGTTGATTGCATCGCTGGCGCCAGCCAGGTCAGCGATTATGAAAAGTATTTGAAAGAAGTAGGTTTTCAAGGTACTACACTGGCTCTTTTTTCCTTATTTCGTGCGATTTGATCTAGCACTGACACCCAACCTATAGATACTTTGATTCTGGACACCAACAGTGATCTGAACCTTTACAAGGAAATGTGGCAAAGCGAAAAGGCCAACGAATTGGACCCTACTAGCTCATGCTGCGATATGAAGAGATCCGGAACGACCGAGATGAAGATGGCGGACGTGGATTTCAATCTCTGGACTGGTGAGTTCACCCACAAATTATGCTTGAGAGTAATGCGGCGCTAACCACATTCCCGTTGGTTTTTTCCCCTTAGGCTCGCTCAAGATCTTCGCCATTAAGCCGGATATACACGGTTGATAAAACCGTAAATCACATCAAGCGTATAAATCTTCTGGTCCAATGCAGATAAACCATCTAACATAGGTTAACAGCCAAAGGATTCCCAGGTACCGTTAGGTCAAGCAAATCAGAAGATTACATTTTCCAAATAGCGTGCCTCTCTGCTTTGCATCAGCCTGCCGTAGTAAAGGACATATTTGACAGGATTTGGATCCGCGTATAAGAGCGTCCTTTGCCCAGCTTCCTTCCCAGACCCTATAAGATATAAGTGTCTTGTAATTTGTACTCGAACATTCGTTGGCATATTCATAGCGTCTATCGAGGTCTACAGGGGGCAATCCCACCTGTTATTGTAAATTGCAGGTACTTTATGTCAATGCTACACCATAACTTACAGAGTTTGCCTCAAGACGCTTTCTATGAAGTCACAAGGTTCCAATCAAACCGACCATTCGTGAGATAGTCCAAGGTTAAAACCACTTTGCGACCACGTATGGGGCTTAAAATGTAGAAGAGATAGAACATGCGAGGTTCTTAATGACTGATGCCATAGTGGAAACCGGCTGCAGTAAATTATCAACATCACAATGCTAACCGGCATTGAATGAGAAGAAGAACTACAACATCTGACATACTATTGCAGGATCCCCCCCTCCATGGGAGATTGAGCTTCGTTGCGCATAACGGGATCTGCGCCTCCTTTGACGTACATTCCAGTTAGGTGGTTTCAATGTGCTCGGTCAATACCTTGCATTCCTATGCCGTATCAGAGAGAACAGTAAGCAACTGGTGGTAATCAACCCTGCACCCCTCCTCGGGCAGAAGGCTATTTCGGTACCCATCTCGGAGCCTCAAATGGAGGCTCCTGAGATCTGGTTTTCTTCGGACATAGCCAATCAAGAGCTCGCTAGCCTCTGAACAAGAGACGGTGTGTTGTGAGAAGAGACCTGAGGTGCGAGAATTACAGTCCATTATGGAATATCCCAAGGTTGGCAGCTGGAACTCCTCTGAAGCCAAAACGTTGTAAGGCCTCGGCTCTATTTGGGGGCAGTGTAGCGATTCCGAAAAATGTACCGGACTTGTGGGTGGTTGTGATGACACATATGAAAACTGGTTATCAAACGGGGGACATTCAGGCAGAGAGGCATCCGATGTCAGTATATTTTCCTCTCGTGGAGGATCATCATTCCTAGGGACAGACTTGAGGCCACCTGGTTCGCTCATTGCCTGTGCACCATTAGAGGTTATTTCCACCGTCACGCATGGAAAGGTAGAACTGACGCCAGGCACTGAATTAGACGAGGTGAGATATTCTGAAGAGAACAGCACATCTAAGCCAAGCCCAGATCCAGCCATCGCTCCGCAAGCCTCGCGCGATGGTGCGAGAGGCGGTTCAAATGACGAGTCCATCATGGATGTTATGGATTCGACAAAATACTTCAGGAGTTGGTTTTCGACCGAGAGGAGCTCTATCTTCTTTTGGAAGTTATCGACTTGAGCGTTCTGCGCGGTCTCGTAGAATTGCACTTTCTGTTCCAAATCACGAACGTGCTCCTTCTGGCGCGCACGGGAATTCCGTTGATTGTTGCGCACTCGGGCAAGGTCCTCAGCCTAGAAGACGAAGGTCAAAAATTTCCTGCCCTCGCTCAACTCAAATTGGACAAAGCAATTACCTTGCTTTTTACTCTGATCCGTGGCATTTTAGTTGTGCTAAGGAAGAGACCTTTCTCTTGGGTTTGGTTGAGATTCGCTGATTAATAAAATGTCGGTTGAGGAGGTGGAAGATCAACCCTGAAGCTATCACGTCGATGAATAGTTGAAAAAGATGAGATTGGGATTTGGGAATGGGGCTTATGTCACTACTTAGGGGCCCGGCGGGCTTGGCATTCCCAGGTTGGCTTCAGTTTCAGACAGTTGTGGGAGGTTGTCGGCGGTGACCAATGATTGGGTCTGGCAGGCCAACCGCCTGGCATTCGAACAATACAGAACTATAGTTAGCCACTAACTTCAAAACAGGGATGCCGATTGCTGGAAGTTGCAGTCTGGCTATTACTGCTGCATGTCATAGTTCATATGCGGGGAAGGACAGTGTCATTAATGATGGGGAAGACAATTCAGAGAGGCAAGGAGCAGAGTATCAGTGACTTAAGCGTGTGACGGCTCAACGCCAGACAAATAGCGCCAACATACCAAACGATGCCATACAAGCAATATGGGCAAACAATGGCTTAAGCCGCACCACACAAATGTGTATAAAGACCGTTCATCGCCTAGATAGATTTCCTTTTCTTCTTCCCCAGATTCGATATTCTCGTCGATTCATCATTATCTGCTATTCCGAGCCCGTGACAAAGTGGGGAGTTGAACCACTTATTTCAAGAGAGATTAATGGTCAGATTGGGCATTGCGCATTGCGCATTCTCTAGTGGGAATGTAGAAATACTGCAGCATGGGCGAGCCTATCTATGATAAGATCCCAAGGACTGGTTTTTGTGTATCAATTGACGACTTGACAACTTGACGACAAGGCAATTCTCCTGTATTATACATGCATTAAGCCCTAGTCCTCAGTGATGCAAGCGCAAGGAATACGGGAAGGGTGATATGTCAGTATAACTGGAAATGGCCTGTTATCAGATCTCGGTCCCTTGAATAGCAATCAGGTAAGCCTGGGTGAGCAGGCAGGTGCATTATACTGTGTAGAGAGGGGATACTGGCAACCCACTTTCTCTGCAAGTATAACTAGCAGCAGTTGCTTTCTTTTTCTTTTTCCTTCGATTCTTTTATTTGTCTTGTTTCCTGCTCATATCCTCCTCTTCCATCTCATTTCAAAGCACTCTCATCCACTTCATAATGTAGACAAGATTATACAGTCAACCACTCGCTGCGCGAGTGAGCGAAGCATAAAAAAAACATACAACAGCCGGGATTCGCTGGTGGTCACCCACCCAACTACTAACCGGCCGGCGTGTGGCTTAAGTACGGCTGAGCGGACGGGAAGCCCTTTTCTCCACACCCTATGGTCGTATGTACTAAACTAGTAGTCATAAAGGAATATAGATAGTATTCCCATCTGGTACAGCTCTAGTCTCGTTGTGTGGCCCGGTTGACACCCTTTGCGATTTACAAACTGCACTTTCCGCAGCTCCCTGGGGCCACCTCCTGGTGCTCAACCAGGGTGGATTGACTGCTATCCTGGTTGGAATGTCGCACACATCATTGAGAGGCCATGCAAATGAGGATGATGAGCTTACTATTCTACTCCCTGACACACAACAGCGCATGTCAGGGAGAGTTTGGAAACGCCCAAGACTTCTCGAGGGATATGAGGTTAAATGAGAATAGTTCTTTAACTAGTCTTGGTCTAAAAATGAAGTCTTTTCATCTGATTAATATCAAATGCGGAAATCTTCTGTCTGTGACGGCTCAGTGCTGCGTCAATGGCTGACACCGACAAACGGCACCAACATGCTAGACGAGACAGTGGTGATGTCAAACAAACGCCTATAAAACCTATGTTTCCTGTAGATAGATTTCCTCTTCTCTTTCCTCCCCAGATTTGATATTTTCGTCAATGGCTACAATAGTTTAGATAAGAACTCCGTTCAATATTATCTTCTATTCCGAGCCCGTGACAGTGATGCTTTTGAAAATGAGCTGACCCTGGAGTTGATCTGGCAGATTAAGGTTCTGAAGTGTACCAGAGCTTCCGCTTCAGTGGAAAAAAGATAAGTTGAACCTTCCCCTACTTTGACATGTAGTTCAAACTTAGTATGGCTACAAGGTTCATCTGACACTACCAATGACTTATGTTCAAGAGAACATAGAAATGTGGTGTTCAAAAATTGTGGCACCTTGGTAAATAAAATAAATCTCCTGGGGCCAGTTGATCTGCGAGACTGCGACTTGAGGAATATAAACATACCCAAGTCTATCCAGATCCAGGCAGGAATTTACCACTGTGCTTCTGTTGAACAGCATCATCAGCCCATAATGATTCCGGCAAAACTGTCTGACATTTTGAACTTTCCCCCATTACCTCAAATTGCAATTAAGCGCTCTTCATGCAGTATGCACTTCAGAGAGTGAAAGAAAAGCAAGAAAGAGACAAGAGATATGAAATGGTTCAAAATGGGTTCCAGGCTTCTTCAACAACTGATGCAAGTTCATGCGAAAGGATCTTCCTGCAAGCCTTGAAAGCCTTGGTATTTCTGCTATATTTTGAACTAAAAAAACATATAGACCTGATACTGAGCAGGTGATCAACCCTTAATGATGAAGTTTTCTTCCAATCGGATCTTCGCAATCTTGGGTTTAATAAATAGCCGCTTCCTTCCAGTGTTGCAGACCTCCAAAGCCGAGCGCCCGGGCCCATGGCACCAACTACAGTAAGTTTCGGCCCGCGTATGCCCGGCTAACCATCATTAATTTATAATTCCCAAAACAATTTAGTTGCATTATTATGATGCAATTTAGGATACTATCTGCTGAACTGTTTGGTGTCGCAATCAGTCAGATATTTTACCGCGAACCCAAACGGTTCGGCATCCGCACTTCGTCATAGCGAACACGGGCCAATTGATCTAACACTACGCTTCAAGTCGCGCAGTCACCCACGCAACCTGGCTGGCTCTCCCGCGCGGCTCGGCCGTGGATCCCCCCATGACGATGTCGCAGTGGAACAAGATCCCCGGGAACGAGAGGTGGCAGGAGCATGTAGAGTACGTGTTTGAAGAGGTTCTGGCCGCAAGGGGGAAAGCTTGTTAGGGCTGATGCGAAGATTGATGTTGTCGGGGTGGCCGAGGGGGGTTTGGCTGCTATTCGGTACTTGTCCATGGATTGTGGGTAGCATCTACCCCCTCACTTCCCAGTTTTTATCCCCTTCCTTTTCCGTTTCGATTGATGAATTGGAAAATTTGAAGGATTTGGAGGATGATGATAGTACTGAGGAGGCTGGGGAGACTGAGGGTTGATGGGATGGAGTTACATAGGCTCTTTATTCAGGTTGGGGGATGGGAATTGGCTACATGGACAGTTAACTGCTCATTATCATCCTTGACCTAAGGAATATATTTCCATTCCATACCATACAAGGAAACGGCCAATTGGGCAAGCATTAATATTCTCATCGTCATGCAAAACCATGGCAAGCCTCTCGAAACCCAGACCGGAGAGGTGAGCGGATTACTATTGCTAATAATCCTAGGTTTAGTTTGTCAAGGTGTGAGCTCTTAGCCGAGATATTCAGCCGAGGAATGGAGCTTTCTAGGCGCCTAGTATTAGAGGATAGTCGTGCAGCTTGTGCTATGTTGGAGAGCCTCACGCTCCAACATGCCCCACTCCTTATTGGCCCGCACTAGCGAGCCCACACACAGATGCCAGATAGAGGAGTCCACCCTCATCCATCTAGACAGCCACAATACAATACATAGTATCGCCAATGCCTTCCCTTGCCCATAGCCTGATCCACATGCTCTTCATCATTCGCCACATTAAATAGATGATATCAAGCCAAGTCGATTAGCGATGGAGACGGCGAATAGTAAAATCCTTGGCATGTCATGTCATAACGAGTTTGCCGAGAGAGAGATATATAGCCTTGGCAGAGGGACAACTGATAGATTACCGCCATTCCTAGAAAATATCGAGACTTCGGAACCTCTAGATGGATCCCTTCGTGATAAGGAAACTGCCATCATAGCGATCACATATTGTTTTGAGATTTTAGAAGGTTTAACAAGAATTACGTATTTTTTTATGATTTAATTTAGAATATTCGGCTTGGCACTATGCATAAATAGCTCTCATTAAGTCCCTATAGCCAGACCTAGATAGGAGATATTTTGAATACAGCAAGCACTTTCACGACCTAGTTTTGATCAGTCAAAATCTGAAGATATGGTTCTATTCAGTGGGCGGTTATTTATATACATTCTGACTTTCTTCTGTTGGATATCAATCATATCTGACCAACTATTGACCACGGCGACGAACTCCCCCTGCTCCTCCTCAATCACCGTATTGGCTTCCTCTCGTGCTGTCATCTCCGGCCAGTTGACCCCTGCTACGATTATAGTTTCTTGTGCGACTGGAAAGATCACTGCCGTCTTTGATTACGTTCTCTCCGCTACCGACTTCCCCGAGGGGACCCCATATACCGACCATTCCCCTTATGTCCTCCTCCCGGGGTTGATCGATACTCATGTTCACCTCAATCAACCGGGCCGTACAGAATGGGAGGGCTTTTACACCGGCACCCAAGCCGCCGCTTTTGGTGGGGTCACCACCGTCGTGGATATGCCATTGAATGCCATCCCACCCACCACGACGGTTGCGAACCTGAAAGAGAAAGTCGCAGCAGCCCAGGGCAAATGCTGGGTGGACGTCGGCTTTTTTGGTGGTGTCATCCCCGGCAATTCTCATGAACTTAAAGCCCTTGTCCATGAAGGTGTCCGTGGCTTTAAAGGATTCCTAATCGATAGCGGGGTAAATACCAACCTAGGTGTACTCTGTGATGCTGCAGCGCTTACCTCCCTCTAGGTTGATGAATTCCCCGCTGTCAATGCGGAAGATATCAAAAAGGCCATGGCTGAATTGGCCGACGAACCCACGACGCTTATGTTCCACGCGGAAAAGGAACCTCACGAGGAACCCCCTCCACCAACCGGACCCGCGTACAACTATTCGACTTACCTGGAATCCCGCCCGTCGACCTACGAGACTGGCGCCATTGCAGAGGTCTTGTCCCTGGCCCACCTGGCGCCCCAACTCGCCCTGCATATCGTCCACCTTTCCGCCATGGAGGCCATTCCGATGTTGCGCGAAGCCCGCGCACAAGGCGTGCCCATCACTGCAGAGACTTGCTTCCATTATCTCTCCTTGGCCTCCGAAAAGATTCGCGACGGCGACACCCGCTACAAATGTAGCCCGCCCATCCGCTCCCAAGCGAACCAGGATGCCCTGTGGGCCGAACTAGCGCGATACCCCGACGACGGCGTGCTCCAGACCGTCGTCTCGGACCATTCACCCTGCACACCGGATCTCAAGCTCCTCCCGCCGTACATCCCTCCCCACACGGATGCCCCATCCCACAACGGCAGCTTCCTCAACGCCTGGGGAGGTGTCTCTTCCGTCGGTATGGGACTCCCGATCCTGTGGACCGAATTCAGCCGCAGGAATGGCCTGACTTCTGCGCCGGAGGACGAGAATACGAACCGTGCCCTCCAAGATATCGTCCGGCTCTGCTGCATGAATACCGCCGCCCAGGTGGGTTTGGAAAAGCAGAAGGGTGACCTAGCCGTCGGAATGGACGCAGATATCTGCGTCTTCGACGACACCGCCGAGTGGCTTGTTGAGCCATCTACCATGCTGTTCCGGAATAAGGTCTCGCCTTATCAAGGCCAGAAATTGAGGGGTGTTGTTCGGGAGACTTGGCTCCGGGGTGAGCGAATATTCACTCGTGCTGCCGGATTCAGCGATGACAGGCCGTCGGGCAAACTCCTGCTGGAGAAACGGGCTAAACAGACTTGAACTTCCTCATCTGTTGGGGCCTTGACGACACGGCATAACCCCATGCATAACCCAGACCGAGACAGCTTGTTGTGACGGTTGTGACGGTTGTGACGGCTCACATACGACAGCTCAACACTGCAGCAATGGGTTATACATCACAGATGCTGCTACTCGGCTATGCCGCTAGTGGTCCTTATAAAGTCTCTTCATAATCTAGATAGATTTCCTCTTTTCTAGACCTGGACATGGGTACAGATTTCAGAATCGAAATACCCAAGTGGGTCCTTTTACCCAAGAAGCTAGTGTATTTACAGGAATTACGTGTAACGCCGTAGTGTATGACTTAGGCGTCTATATGATCAAACGACCGTTTCGGCTACGAATCGTTATCGGCTCGTTATCGTAAATATACTTTATGCACGAAGAGGGTTTTATGTAGGGTAATGAACGAATCGCCTGATTCTCTATCTATGAGCATAATAGTTTATTTATACCTGACGTTCGACAGTGTGCCGATAGCGAGCCCTCGTCCAGAACTGTCGACACTTTGATACTGATATATGCCTGATCTCTCAGGCTGCCATGCTCGCGCGGTTAGTTACACCCTCTCTCACCTTAACCGAGTACTTAGAGAAGCCCACCGGAGAACTCTTCCAGCAGAATCAGCGACTATCACTGGAACAATGTGACAACATTCTTTTTCACCCAAACAGATGAGTATTGAGGAAGCATCCTTGTCAAGCATCGGCTTCAGTATGTTTGCCATGTCTTCTTTTCGATTAGTATGAGCTGTTTGTCGAGAATCGGTTATGTTCAGTAGCGGCGAGTACTTTGATATGATTTTCCTTGAGTTTTCGTCTCGATCGTTGATATCAGGTTTGTTTCTGTATCGACTTGGGACCGAATTCCGAAATCCAACATTGTTTTTCAGTGGTGTTTGTGAGGAGTGATCTGGTCCCATGTTTTCAGGAAATGAAGAACCTTGATTAACATGAGCCAACGGCAATGGACTGGGCTCCGACTTGTGGCGTGAAAAGACTTTATTTATCCACGGCACATTGACGACACGGCTGGAACTGGGCTGCTGATCAGGGTCAATATGCCCCGGTCGTAACAAGACCGGGGCAGGCTGACGAACATCTTCCATTTTTTCCACAAGAGCGAGTTAACCCCAAACAGAAGGCTCTAGTTTCCTTTGTGTTGATTATAGAAATGGCAAAGTATTGAGCCCGAGAGATGACTGCTGGCGAAAGTCCAATAGCGGCCGCCAAGCGGGCAGCCCAAAGGATACACTGGCAATGCTTTGCACAATTCTGGGCCGAGAAGGCTCCCAATCGCTACAAGGACCTTGGCATAGCCATAGAGAAACGGCCACCAGAGCTCCAGCTCCCCCGAGCAGCTCTGGGCCGCCTCCTCGCTGCCAGGAGCGGCCATGGTGACTTTGCAGAGTACCACGAGCGCTTTAGACATGATTATGCTTTGCTGACATGCTCATGTGGCCGCAGAAAGGAGCCCTCCCACTTCTATTTTTGCCATGAGGGTCGCAAAGCAGTAGCACATCCATAGGGCCAACAACCAATAACAGACATCCTCACCAAAAAAACAGGATTCACTGCATATGCAGATTGGCTGGGAAAATCACAATTTTATACAGCCATCTGCAGACGCTATTAGGATGCTATATGCATCAAATCTGGGAACCTCTAGGCTTACCTCTGGCTCCCTCCTCCTCCTCCTCCTCCTCCTCCTCCTCCTCCTCCTCCTCCCTCTTATTCTCTTTCCCCTCCATTTTTCTTTTGTTCATCCTCCCCTTTTCTGTTTCCTTCCCTCGATTTCCTTAAGGAAACCCCAAGATACCCAATTTGCTGTTTAACAGTTGCGAAAACCCAAGCAGCCCCCCGCGTGGGGGGCTACCTGTATTTAGATGATAGATGATAGTTTAGCTAGCTGATAGGCAGGTCCGGTCTGCCCGTCGTATGTCCCGCTCCGAGACCAGGGATTCCCCGCTTCCGAGGATTCCAAGGATGCGTGGAAGGACCCGATCCTCGACGTAAAATAGAGACAACATACACATACTAAACTAAACTAAAAGCAGCCGTTTCTTGCCTCCCATTCACCGTCTCATTCTTATCAAAGTTCGACGCGCAGAAAAGAGTGAAATGGACCCCTGGATACATGTGGGATGGAAACTTGAAGCATGAGGTTGGAAGTACCAAGGCTCCAAACCACTTGATCTAGTGGATACAAGTGAGATCACTATGGATGAATACCTAGAGGAGAAATATATACTTTTTCAAGCATCGAGGGTCCAAGAAGGGACGAGGTCATGCCTTCCAGAACCGTAAGCCTAATAGCTAAATTTATCACTACGAATAATTCGTTGCAACAAGACATGTTTTGTTCCAGTATTCTACCGTTTGTGTTGAACGTGGTTAATTCTAGCTCCAATCATTATAACAGCCACTGTTCCACCACCAAAATCTTATCGGATACCATTCCAAACCTCAACATTTCATTTTCTCCAATGGATCCTTATCAGAACACCTTGCGCTGATCCCTGTCTGAATTTGTTCGTGCAGAATGCATTTGGGTGAGGCGACTTGAAAGACAAAACGACATCTGGACGATCTCTTCTCTCATTTGCCAGCGGTCCTTTGCCACGCACCATTGACATTTGTCCACACACCAATACATATAAAGTCCTCACCCCACTGCCATAGTCATCCAAACCACACATTGACATGGCACCAAAGCTTTTCTCGAAAATTTTCAAGCGCAAAAAAGAACCACCCCCCAAGTTCAACTTGAAAGAATGGTCTCCACTTGCAATAGGAATTTCAGATTCCACCTGTGAGATCAACGGCGACATATTCAATAGATGGAAGCTTCCAATCCCGTCACCAGAGCAGCGCGTATGCAAGATTGGCGCTCGAGAGCGCAACTCGCAAAAACAGAGCATCTTCTTTGGGTTACCTGTTGAGATAAGGAGGCTTATATACATTGAGCTTATGGGTAATCGACGAGTACACACTCGACACGTATGGAAGAAGCCATCGCCATTTAGGCCGCAGCCAATACAAGGCGGAGCCCGTTGGGATTGGTGGCATTGTGTCTGTAACAAATCAAACAGCTTCCCTGAGGACCCTGATTTTGACCACTGTCGGAACTGGGAATATGAGGTGGATCTAAACGTGAGAAATCCGAAAATTAACGGCGTGGAGTGGCTTGGGAGCTGTCAAATCGGGTGAGTCTCTATCCCCTAATATCTGAACAGTGCCTGATATTATGTCGCAGTTATGAAGAAGCATTAGAGATTCTCTACAAGACAAATGTCTTTGTGATGGACAGGGCCCTGGACACGCCTTTCCTGATGTCGAGACTAATGTCGCCACGTTGTGCCTCTTATATAACATTGATGGATATCTCTTTCCCTGTTGGTGTTGGTGGCCCTGGGTACAATGAAAATGATTGGAAGTCGACATATACCGCATTTTTCGATTTGTTTGGGGAGACTTTCCACGGTGTGCATCGCCTACGCTTGCAACTTCAAATGCCGCCGTGGGAGGCTTTCAGCGAGGATTTCAAGGAGCAATGGATGGACATACTTCTCGGGCCATTTGATAGACTTTCAAAAGGTCGAGAGTGGACTCAACTGCAGCTTTGCGTTCCATACAACTGGCACGAACACTTCGAGAAATTCAAAGAATCAATGCCATGTCAAGCCAAGTGGGAGCTCTCTGAGACTATGTGGTCTCAGCAATGGGATATTCATTGTGTTGGAATGAGTTAATAGTATTCAACTTGCTGGTTTTCAGCTCCAGCAGTTGACCTCACATACCTATCTATTTCAATAATCTAAAGAATTTCAGAGATTTGGTTTCTGGGTTTCTAATGTCGATACTGGAATTTGTGTTATATCTCCATTTTCATCAGTGATCTATGTCAGATACTTTGAAATAATATTGTCTAATTACTTTCTAGCTCTTAGATGTGACAGGTACCGGGGTTCCACTAGTGATTGTCGTGATTGGACCGGTAGTTCCGATGCACACGAAAACGGAGGCTTGTAAGCCCGCGCAGTCCGTGTTCACAGCCGGGTTCCAGCTGTAGAAGTCACTATGTCGAGCCAGTTAGCTTCTCTAGAACTATCATTTGAGCTAGACTAAGAAGCCCAGCTACAGCAACGGGGAACTTACGTTTGAGCAATACCTGCCTCAGATGCTATATCCGTGCAACCTTCTCCCTTTTGTACATCATAGAAACGAAGGCACCCGGACACCATTCCAGTCTATAACACTGTTAGTGAAGTCACGCAATCAAAGGGGGAAACCAGACTCACTTGTGTTGGGGTTGGGGTTACAGGAACAGGGGTGCCACTAGAGATTGTAGTTGCATATCCTGACACTCCAATGCAAACAAACTCCCCAGATTGTAGGCCAGAGCAGTCACTCTTGATGGCTGGATTCCAACTGTAGAAGTCATCAAGTGCCACTCCGGCCTCTTGGGCAATGTCATAACAATAATTATTGGTCTGGACCTTGTAGAATCGAATACAATCACCAGTTATGCCGGTCTGGGTGAATGCATTAGCTATGGGCAAAAGTGAAGTACGTTTTCATGCATACCTGAACAGGGAATGGGCGGGTTACCCCAGACGCCGTGGATGTGGAAGTCCTAGAGGAGGTGGATAATGACGTTGAAGAAGATGAAATGCTGGCTGACGATATGCTCGTAGAATTGCTGGGAGCGTCAACACAGATATAGGTGTTCGATTTCAATCCAGTGCAATTTGCTCCAAGAGAAGGATTCCAGGACTCAAGATTAACGACGGAAATTCCATTTGTATCAGCAATTGTTGTACAGTTATCGTTCCTTTGAATGTTAGCATAGAGCAGCCTGAAGGAAAGAGGGTAGCTTACGTTCCGACCAGCCAGTACTCTGAGCAACTTGAAATGGTACCAGCCGGGATAGTGGGAGTTGGAAGAGAAGTCATAGATCCAGTTCGGGTGGTGGGCGTGTCTGGAACAGCGGCGCAATAGTAATCGCCGTCAACCAAGCCAGAGCAATCGGACTTGACAGCAGGGTTCCATTTCAAGAAGTCAGACTTCGAGAAGGTGCCGAACTGTTCTAGAATCAGATCGCAGTCATCCCCGTCGCTGGCCTTGTACCAAGCTTTACAGCTGGAGGTAATCCCTGTCTGCACAGGGGATGGCTGAACGGTCATTGTTGATGGCATGGGCATCGCGGTCCCGTTCCAAATACAATAATAGTAACCTGACTTGATACCAGAACAGTCTGTTCCGACGGCTGGATTCCATTCGACGAATTGATCTTCAGTCAAAAAGCCTTCTGAGGAAACAATGCTCTCGCACGTATCTGTCTTTGACATGTTAGCCATAAACTCATACGAAAGGTCGTAGACGTACCTCATCTGCAATATAATAGTCCTGGCAAGCAGTGGCAATACCGCTTTGAACAGGGCTAGCGGAGAAGTCTGTATCCGTAGCGAGTGGCGCAGTGTATGTCCACGTCGGGTACCAGGCTGCAGTGCTTCCATTGTCACTGTTCAAGACTTGCGGTTTGATTCTGACAGAGTACCAGTATCCATAATAGATGTTGGTGCAGTTTTCACTGACAGCTGGGTTCCGATCAAGACTGCAAAATCAAAGTGAGCTTTTGGTTCATAGGATACATTTAATCACATCGGGACATGCTCACAAATCGTTTTTGTTCATCCACGTGGAGTACTTAAACACGATACTTTTACAAGTATCACTTTGCTTTGCCTGATACCAATTATTACCTAAAATTCAGGTCAGTCGAGACGCTCGAAGTCATTTGGAATCAAAAGAAATCTCACAAGCACTGGGTTGACCGGTCTGTGTCTGAGATGGTGGCCAAGTCCGTAATCGTAACGGGGTTGGTCGTCTTGTTGTATGAAAGGAGGACGTTCCAATTGCGGAAGTGGTCGTCTTCGAGCCTGTGCCTGAGTTGGATGTGCTGGTTTTCCCCGATGTTGAGACGGCTGCACCAACTCCAACACAGTAAGAGACTCCAATTTCCACTGTACATGAGTCACCCACGGCAGCATTCCAGGCTTCAAATTGGTCTTGCGTGATGCCAAAAGCTTGAGTGATGCTCCAGCACGAAAGGAGCCAGGTGTCAAGCCTGAGACTAATGAACTCCCAACACACAAGCCCAGGTTATCCTTTAGGATATACTTTGTCTCGAGGCCTCTTCCGCTCACCGAAGTTACAGGTGTTGTTGGCTCGGCATTTCCCACAAGGAACAATTCCATCGCACTAGATATAGTCAGATCAAGGCCGCGGGTGTTGGAAGTGGGAAAATTTGGATGTTATGCTGCTTCTATCTATATTTCTGCCTTTTTTGTTCTACAGCGGTTACAAGCCTTGAGAGTTCTCTTTTTAACCCCTTCACTACTAGAATTGGGTTTGCCTCCTAGTACTGGTGACTTTTGGCGCGAGGTCATGAAGAATGGATACACTGTTTTGCCAGGCTTTGAAAGCTGGCTACTGGTTAAATGTTGTTGAATATTGAGTTTATAGAACAGTATCAGTAATGCATTCTGACATAGGGAGTGGTGGTGACAATGAAATTATACCTAGGTAAAATTTAGATACAAGGAGGGCATAACTATTGCGACATCTCAAGCACCATGGATTGGCGGACGGAACAGACAGGACTATTTTCTTACAGACTTGATATCCCAATCCTCGCTGCATTGTTACCGCCTCGTACCAAAAAACCGTTCATCGTTATTGCAGGAGAAGAGGAGCGTTGGCCAGTCGGAGCCCTTCTTGGGCAATCTTTCGGGCGGGATCTGTAGCTTCCGGTATTTAGCTTCTGGTATTGAAAATACGGCCCCAACTCTGAAGAACCCTTCAGCACTGCGATATAGCTCTTGTATAATTCGTTGATCTCTTTTAGTGTATCTACAAGGGGGAAATACTGGGTCTATCTTCTGTTCCTCAGAGTGGGCCGGCCGGATGTGCTATTCCGGACTGATATCAAGGCTTTTATTCGGTTTTTTTTCATATGTATGCCCAGAGCGTCCTCCAAGTCCTAACTACCTAGTTCCATTCAGGCAGTCATGACTCCATCCATAATGACCTATAAAAAGTGATCCTTCGGTTACTTTTTCACCGATAATTACAGTCCCGGCTAGTATCAACATGAAATCCCGATGACATCCGGATATCAGCGGGAACAAAATTAATTTATCATCTAGTGCTATAGTTAACTATGTTATCGGGACATTACCACAAATGACTGACAGGTCCGCCTCGTTCTTGTCTACTCTTCTAAAAACGAATTTGGTTTCAATTCTTGTCCACTATGTCAGTTTTAGGTGGAATCCCTGCCATGGATAGTTCGGAGTACCAGCAGCGCCTGGGAGCTGGACTTGAAGTGAGGGATACCGACACTGTATCATCTACAACCCAGATCGACAAAATGGATGGTAATCAGCTTGCAGTCGACATGGAGGATGAGATTGAGGAGATGGTAAGGCAGCTGACTCGTCACTCTACCCATTTTTCGTCCTCAAATGCAAAGAATCCCTTCTTCGAGGAAGATAAGGAAACTACCTGGCATCCGGACAGTCCATTTTTCAAGCCAAAGGACTGGGTTCGATCCCTCATCGCTGCTCAGTCGCAAGACCCAGAGCGATTTCTTCAACGTTCGGTGGGCGTTGCATTCAAAAACCTCCACGTGCATGGTTTCGGAAGTCCAACCGATTACCAGAAGGATGTGTTCAACGCCCTTCTGAGTGTTGGTGGCCTTGTGCGCAACATCATCGGCGTTGGGAAGCAGAAAGTTCACATTCTCAATAACTTCAACGGACTGGTCCGTAGTGGAGAGATGTTGGTGGTCTTGGGTCGTCCTGGAAGGTAAGCCTGCAGAAGCAAAATGTGAATCTTAGGTCGACATTGGACACCTTCTGACAGAATTCTTCCTAGTGGCTGTTCAACATTCCTCAAGAGCATCGCCGGCGAGATGAACGGTATCTATGTCAATGATGATAGTTATATGAACTATCAAGGTATGCCACCAGTTCCGGAAAAGTCTGATGCGATATTAGCAACTGATCAATCCACTACGACAGGAATCTCGGCTCCGACTATGCACAAGCAATTCCGTGGAGAGGCCATCTTCAGCGCTGAAACTGATGTGCATTTCCCGCAGCTCACGGTTGGTGAGACTTTGACATTCGCCGCCATGGCGCGTGCACCGCGCACGCGTTTCCCGAACCTGACTCGAAAGGAATACGCTGAACATCTTCGTGACGTGGTGATGACAATGCTAGGACTCAAGCACACGTTCAATACTCGTGTTGGCAATGACTTCGTGCGGGGAGTCAGCGGAGGTGAGCGCAAGCGAGTGAGCATTGCAGAAGCCATTCTCAGTGGTGCCCCGCTTCAGTGCTGGGACAACAGCACACGGGGTCTTGATAGTGCCAATGCTTTGGAATTCTGCAAGAACATTCGCTTGATGAGTGATTATACGGGAACCACGGCCTGTGTTGCAATTTATCAAGCTTCGCAAAATGCCTATGATGTAAGGCTCAAGGCAACATAGAAAGCTTGTCTTCTATAACCCGAGAATGTATGGCTAACAATGTTCGACTTTTACAGGTCTTTGACAAGGTCGTTGTGCTTTACGAGGGTGAACAGATTTACTTCGGCCCAACCGGAGAAGCTCGTAAATTCTTTACCAACATGGGCTTTGACTGCCCGTCGCGCCAGACTACAGCCGATTTCCTCACATCCTTGACTAGCCCAACTGAGCGCAGGGTGAAGCCAGGTTACGAAGCTAAAGTGCCTCGGACACCCGCGGAGTTCGCGCAGCGATGGCAAAGAAGTCAGGAATGCGCTCGCCTCCTGCGGGAGATTGATACCTTTGACAAGGAACATCCGATCGGTGGCCAGTCCCTTACTACTTTCAGTGAAGCACGCCGTTTGATGCAGTCAAAGCGACAGTCAGTCTTGTTGAGTTTGTAGTATGATTGGTTCGATGAAACTGACGTTGATCTATTAGGCGCCTCAAATCTCCCTACACACTCTCGGTTCTCGAGCAGATCAATCTTAACCTTGTTCGTGGGTTCCAGCGTCTCAAGGCTGACATGACTTTAACCTACTCGGCTCTCTTCGGCAATTTCTTTATCTCTCTGATCTTAGGAAGTGTGTTTTACAACCTTCCCGGAGACACATCCAGCTTCTTCTCGCGAGGAGTTCTTCTCTTCTATGCAGTTTTGCTTGCTGCGTTTGCCAGTGCTCTCGAGGTATGTTACAGCCTTATGAAAGGTCTTGATGACCAGTATCAGAGGAATCTTCTAACAATTGTATGATAGATCTTGACACTCTACGCCCAGAGACCAATCGTGGAAAAGCAATCTCGATATGCCTTCTATCACCCATTTACAGAGGCAGCTGCATCCATGCTGTGCGATATCCCCTATAAATTGACAAACTCTGTCACATTCAATCTTCCCCTCTACTTCCTGTCCAACCTCAAGCGTGAGCCGGGAGCATTTTTTATCTTCTGGCTGTTCTCGATCATGACCACATTGACTATGTCAATGGTCTTCCGGACATTTGGTGCTGCCTCGCGCTCTCTAGCTCAAGCGCTGGTTCCTGCTGCCCTGCTCATCCTTGGTCTAGTGATCTATACAGGTTTCATCATTCCCACCAAAGATATGCTGGGATGGTCTCGCTGGATGAACTACATTGACCCTATTGCGTATTCATTTGAAAGCATGATGGTCAATGAATTCCGCAATAGGAAATTTCCCTGTACATCTTTTGTTCCTTCTGGCGAGGGCTACGAGAATGTGGATTCCATCAACACCATTTGCAGCACTGTCTCATCCACGGCAGGAGATCCTAACATTGATGGAGATGCCTACTTGCAAACTGCATATGCGTATTCCAACGGCCATCTCTGGCGCAACCTGGGTATCGTCATCGCTTTCATGATATTTTTCATGTGCGTTTATCTTATTGCGACCGAATACATCACCGAGGCTCCCTCCAAAGGCGAAGTCCTTCTTTTCCGCCGGGGCAACCAGCCGAAACACCTACAAGAAGATGCCGAAAACACCCCAGATGCAGCTTACCGGGCTGATGAGAACGCCGAGGGTACCGGTGCCAATATTCAGCGTCAAACTGCCATCTTCCAATGGCAGGACCTTTGCTATGATATTAAGATCAAGAATGAGCCTCGTCGCATTCTCGACAATGTGAACGGATGGGTAAAGCCCGGCACGGCGACTGCATTGATGGTGAGTCTTTCTTTCCCCACAGTGAGGTACAGTCCACTCAACTTCTCCAGGGTGTTTCCGGTGCGGGAAAAACTACGCTGCTTGATGTTCTTGCAACTCGAGTGACTATGGGTGTTGTCACTGGCGATGTCCTGGTGGATGGACAACCCCGAGACGATTCATTCCAGCGCAAAACCGGCTATGTCCAACAGCAAGATGTTCATTTGCCTACCTCAACAGTGCGAGAAGCTTTGCAATTCAGTGCTATACTCCGACAGCCTGCGCACCTCAGTCGCCAGGAAAAACTAGCCTACGTTGAGGAAGTACTGGAGTTGTTAGGCATGCAGTCATACGCCGACGCGGTGGTTGGTGTTCCAGGTGAAGGTATGTTTTGTTCCTGAATCTCGATACACTTTCCCTATTCACTCTTTTTAATCTGGATTCCTGACGGCTTGTAGGATTAAATGTTGAGCAGCGCAAGCGCTTGACGATTGGCGTGGAGTTAGCTGCTCGACCACAGTTACTGCTTTTCCTGGATGAGCCAACCTCAGGGTTAGACAGCCAAACCTCGTGGTCAATTCTGGACTTGATCGAGATCCTCACAAAGCACGGACAGGCCATTCTATGTACTATCCACCAACCTTCTGCGATGTTATTCCAACGGTTCGACCGACTCTTGTTCCTCGCTAAAGGAGGACGCACTGTCTATTTCGGGCAGATTGGCGAAAACTCCTCGATATTGGCAGACTATTTCATGCGCAACGGTGGTCACACTCTGGCCGATGGCGAAAATCCAGCAGAATGGATGCTTGATGTGATTGGTGCTGCACCTGGGTCTCACAGTGATATTGATTGGCCTGCAGTTTGGAACAAAAGTCCAGAAAAGGAAGCTGTTGTTCACCACTTAGGCGAGCTCAAGTCTACTCTTTCTCAGAAAGAGAAAGAAACCGGTACAAATGCAGACTATCGTGAGTTTGCGTCTCCGACAAGCGTACAACTTTGGGAATGTCTTTCTCGGGTCTTCTCCCAATATTGGTGCACCCCATCCTACATCTACTCAAAGCTCATTCTCTCAATTCTCACGGCGCTTTACAATGGGTTCTCATTTTTCCATGCAAAGAACACCCAGCAAGGACTCCAGAACCAAATGTTCAGCATCTTTATGCTCATGACTATATTTGGAAACCTTGTGCAGCAGATCATGCCGAACTTCATTATTCAACGATCTATCTTTGAAGTACGCGAGCGTCCTTCTAAGATGTATTCGTGGCGTGTGTTTATGGCGTCCAATATTCTGGTTGAGCTGCCCTGGAACCTCCTTGTTGCCGTGTTGATGTTCTTCTGCTGGTACTACCCGGTTGGCCTGTACCAAAACGCCCAGCCAACCGACGCCGTGCATGAGCGCGGTGCGCTGATGTTCTTGTACTTGTTGATGTTCCTGTGGTTCACGTCTACATTCTCGCACATGGTCGTCGCGGGCGTGGAGAATGCGGAAACAGGAGGCAACATTGCGAATTTGCTCTTCTCTCTTCTCCTACTATTCTGCGGGTATGTTATTTCCTAATTTTCTATTTAATGATTCAAGGGTATTAACAAGTTCTGTTACCAGTGTCGTCTCCACGCCAGAGGCCATGCCCGGGTTCTGGATTTTTATGTACCGCGTTTCCCCCTTCACCTATCTTGTATCTGGAATGCTTTCTACCGCTGTTAGTGGGACAAGCGTCACATGCAGTGCAATCGAAACACTCGTCTTCAACCCCCCGGATAGCCAGACTTGCTACGACTATCTGAACCCATATGCCGTCCGGACTGGAGGGTATATCGAGAACCCCAACGCAACGAGTTCGTGCTCATACTGCCCCATGGCCTCTACCGATACTTTTCTTGCCCAGGTAAACTCTTACTGGGGCGAAGCGTGGCGGAACTTTGGAATACTGTGGGCTTACCTGGCGTTCAACATCGTGGTTGCACTTGGAATCTATTGGTTGGCGCGGGTTCCCAAGGGAAGTAAGGCAAAGGGCAGTGTTTGAAAGGCAGATGCTCAAAAGTGGTGAGCAGTTATTTCATGTTGATGGGGGTTTCTGTTCTATGTCAATGGCGACATAATCATGTCATTTGTCGTGAATGGCATAGTTTGTAATTGCATCTAATCATTCCTTTCATTTTCTTTTTATATAGATCTTTCTTATTTATTGTTTCAACAATAGTAGTTTTAAGGGTGATATTCTCTCTTTGATCAAGCCCACAAACCCACCATATTTACTACGCCACAAGTATGAAGTGACAGTAACCTGACCCAGCAATGGTAGATGGGTATTCGATCAGATCGGTACTGACCTGACAAAACCACCAAAAACCTTCGTTCTGTTTGGGATTTTTGCATGGGAAGGAACATTCTATGCGTGCCCTCCCGTCGCCCCACACCACCTTTGTACCAAGCCTTATAAAAGCCGAACTTTGAGCCTTGCCTGGTTATGTAATTGACAGATTTGCCTTGTCTCTCGTGATCCGACCAGTAATCCAGTAATACCCCGGATCCATATATCAGGAACTGACCAAGAGTTCCACAGTATAGTTAACTAACTAGTTAACTATTATGTGCACACGCTGGTCTAGTTATATGAAGAATCTCCGGGCCTCGCTACTCAGGCCGACTATTTATCCGATCGATTCTCATCGGGATTCAACAATGCTTTCTTCCTTCTTTCTTTCCTCACGCTTGGTATTGTCGTCGTCGCTGCCTAGATAGTTGAATGGAGAAGTTTGAGCCCATTGCTCTAGTTGACCCTCGATAATGAAAAGATAGAATTTGAGTTTGTAAACTTCATTATACATAACAATATTGTCACGGGCTCGGAATAGTAGATACCAACGAATTGAATTCCTATCTAGACTATTGTAGCCATCGACGAGAATATCGAATCTGAGGGGAAAAAGAGAACAAGAAATCTATCTAGAGGAAGAAGGGATTTTATAGGCATTTGTTTGAAATCACTAATTTCTTGTCTGGTATATTGATGTCATTTGTCTGTGTCAGTTGTTGATGCAGCATTGAGCCATCACATAACCCCCCCTTTTAGGCAGAGTCTGTCCCCAGACTCTATATTGGTTTATCATCATTGGGGTGGTCATCATTGGGGTGGTCATCAATTTCATTGATCCCTTCTTCCCAGGCCTTCAGCCATTCCTGCAGATGACATGGTGGTCCAGGGTTGTCAGGATAAGCTTGATGGTAGTCATGTAAGCAGTGTGGGGAACCCTTGAAATATCCTGCTGAATACCACATTCAATCTTCATCAAATACTTGCCATAACTACCTGACTAACTAGTTATTAGGGTCTCGATTCACCAAGCGGGAATCAAGCAATGCAGGTGTTCACCAAGGGGTGTCGATATAACGCGACGCTTTCGGATGAACACCAGCGGGTGGTTCAGAGCTCCTTTCTGCATATGTCGTGAGGTTGGGTCGACTATGTAGAACACCATGATATGGGAAGCTCCCATTCAGGCGCTTATATGTATATCTTCGCGGTGATATATTTGGAACTTCATCATTCTGTAATTGTTGGACTCAGATTATTCCACAGCACTCATGCAAATAGTCAAACGCTAGCGACTACTTCTTCCCCATCAGCGGACACATAATCTTATGCTTCCCCCCTTTCCAATCTTCCTTCTGACACTCCTTCGAACAATACTCCGCAAGCTTACAACCACCGCACCGAAGGAGTGAGTCCTTCCGCTTATCACACCTGAAACAAGAGCCCTTCTTTAGTTTCAAAGATGCGAGTTTCTTTGCAACCCCATCAACTGACCCCGCGTTCTGCCACTCATCCAGCTTATCTAGATCCTTCAGCTCGAGCGAACGCTCCACGAATGGAACGGGGAAGGGAGGCGCGATGGCGGCTCTCACGGCATACTTTGAAAGTTTGTTCCAGATTCCGGGAAAAGCTGTCTTGTAACCTGGGGGGAATTTGCCTCTGCCGCAGGAACAGAGCAGTTGCTGGCCGAACTCGACGGAGACGGGGATTTGACCGCTGGTCTTGTATTCGCATGATGGCTTGTGATTCCAGTCGCGACATCTCTCGACCATGGCGGGTAGGGCGTGCTTCCACATGCAAAGTTCGTCATTGTCGACCATGATGGACATGACGCCCCGTTGTTGCATGGTGTCGATCAGGGAAACCATTTGCGGCATGATATCCATTGAGAGCGGAAGAACCGCGGCATCCAGGACAATATGCTGACAGGACATGTCCAGACGGAGAGAGGAAATGAAGATTAACACGTGAACGCCGCCCTCCTGAGGGTTATTCAATGCCAGCACATCATGACGTGGCGCCCCGTTGATGCCAGTGGAGTACGAAAACAATGAGAAGAGAGAGTCTTTGAAATTCACGCGCACATCACCAGCATTCGTCCCAGACGCCATCTGGATCTCTCGCGCTTTGCGTTCTCTGAGCGAAAACATGTCCGGTACACGCGGAATCAGCCATGACATTCCAGCGGGATTCGTTCGACTGAGAATCGGTAATACATCAAGTGAGACATAGTGAGGTGTGCGAAGGCCAATCGATCCTTTCTCCAGGGCCATAGGATACAAGCTGTCCGGGCAGGCAGCAACCTCCTTCTGAGCTGGCACGGGTGCGATGAACTCAATGTAGGAGGATTTCCGCGCAACTCGGGTCTTGCCACCGACGGTGGTAATCGGCGTGGGAAATCGCACTTTCTTAACTAGCAGACCTTTGTCGAAGGAAATCAAAATCTCGAATGAAGAGACCTGCGAGGCTTGAACACCAGCTCCGGATCGTAGCACGCCCTGCAACTGTCCTGGTAAGATATCAACATGCGCCATTACGCTTGCCAGCTTCGATCGGTCAGGGGTGAGTTGTGCTTGGAACCGGATTGAAGTTGCGTCCTTGCGAGATCCAGACGGCATTGAGGATGGCTTAGCATCCTGTACGGATGGGCTAATCCCCGAACATGACATATGCGTAGACATATTCGGGCGGTTCTTGGTGATGTACACATCTTTACCAGCAAGGGTTGACTTGCTTATAGCGAGCTCTAGGCCAAACTTATCACTAAACATGGCAATTGAATGAGGGCTTTGGTTAAGAGCGAACATGGCCTCAGTCGACAGGTCAAGCTTCTGAAGAACCACCGATGCTGGGACCACGGCAGACACAATCATGGGCGCAGTGCCATCCCAGTTGCGCTCGTCTTCCTCGATCTCCAAAGCAAGATCCTCGGAATATCTGTCTCCAAGTGCTTTCAAGTGTCCAAAGCGGGCTTGGATACTCAGATAGAAGCTTTGAGCTTGCATGTCCATATCCCGAAGAACCATTTGTACAATCGGACTTCCATTTTTGATCGATGCATGCTTGAAAGGTCGCAGCTTCTCGCGCGGAACAACCATCGTGACACACAAAAATGAAGGTACATCTTTCCAGTGGCGTAACGGACATTGAGGGTGATTGACTGCTTCTCGCAAAGGAAGCTCGGTACCAATCATAGGACGCAACCCCAAAACATCCAGGTGAACTATCATCTCTGCTGCATAGCTTGCACCAGCTTCCATAGAGGCATCATTCATTATCAAATCGTAAAGTTCACCCATGAAGCCATCCCAATCAACCATGTTCCGCCGGCGCACGAGGCTAAGAATTGCAATAAGGCTTGACCTCGTGTAGTATCCGTATGTCTTTCGCTGCAGCTTATCCACAATATCACTCAGCCAGCTTGTCGGGTCCTCATCACGAAACATTCCTTTGTAGACTTGAAGCAAAAGCCCGGCAAGCTCCTTGGCTTCGAATGTGAGAGATGGCTGCCCGGTTGGCTTGTCGTGTATTGCTGTGCTTTTCCAGTGAAGGACAAATCGTGACTGCGTTGTGGGGGCATCAGGTTGAGATCCACCAGCCGTATCCAGCATGAATCTTTCGTCGAACCTAGAGGTAGCAGTTGTGCCCGTCCAGATCTCCACCGGATTGAGGCCAAGCAAAAGCGCGACCGTTGGGATATCTCCATACAAGAGACTCTTCTTATGTTGCTCAACGTCCATCTCACGTTGCACCAAAACTTCAGTCGATACCGTGGATGTTGGCTTTGGTTTCAAAAGAGGACCGGCAGCGGTAAGCAAGTTCAGATATCCTAAATGGTCAGCCAGATTGGACGTGTCAATCACGTCGAACGACAATGGAGCAGTAACGTCTGTGCTCTCCACGGCATAGTCAGCAGTGTCGAGAATCAGGGGCTCCCAAGTTCGGAAACTACGATACCATCCAGCACTGTTGGCTTTGTAGATTTGTATGTGCTGGAGAGTGTGACAGAGAGCCATAGCGTCCGTGGTAATGAAACGTAATGTCAGCGATGATGCAGATTCACGGAACGCCTTGCTAAATTCACGGAATTGGTGCAGAGCGACGCTAAAACATGTACCAATTTGTTTCGAGTTGGCCTTATTCGCATTCAGCGGTGACTCCCCTGAAACACCAACATATGCTGTAGAAAGATGATAGCCAATAACAGGATCTGTTCCATAGTGCAAGATACATTGAGAGTCGGTTATGTCGAACATGGGGTTGAGATTTGTGGGTCTCGCTTGGTTAAGCTTGGATAATCCACTCTCCCAAAAAGCTTCGTACGAAGCATTGATGTCTTTGAAAGCGGTATCAGTACGAGGAGCTGCTGATCGAAGACCCGTGGTAACAGTATTGTTCCCCACTACGTCCTTCTGGATCTCTTTTGCTTTTGTAATACGAAGGTGAAGCCTCTCCTGTTGCTCTTTGAAGGACTCTCCATGCGACGGCTGCAAGGTGTAGGACTTCCAGAGCTTCGCGACATGAAAGAAGGTATAGCTATCGCAGAAGCGAAGGGTAGCCCCATATTCTCCGTTGTTCCATCCGTCAGCTGTAGCTGCTACCTTGAGTAGTTTCGAAGCCTGCTCTCGAAGGAGGCTCAAGGAATCATCATCGACAAGAACATGGTAGTAGATGTTCCATATCTGCTCGAAATTCTCGCCATCGGTATCATCAAGTATCAGTGTGTACAGGATGATGTTTCGAGCTAAGTCAACTAGTCAGTTCACGTCGACAAAGCAGGCATAGTGAAATGCCCACCTAAAATTTCGGCTTGAATATCACAGCACGTAAAATCGATTTTGCGATCTGTCACTACGCATTAGATTCTTTCTTCCAAGGTCAGTTGCAGACAGCGTACCCTTTCCAGTGCCCATATAGACAGAGAAGAGGACATTCCGCACGTCCCCACACCCCAGTAGCAACACATGCGCATTTTGATCAGGAGGTACTGGACCAGTCAAATTGACGGCTGGAGTATTCCCGATAGCGTACAGAAATGATGCCGTCAGGAGATGCGTAGGCGTAACCATGATAGCGACAGCGCCTGTTGGCTGGCGAAGTTGTTGTCTTGAAGGAGATTTATCAATTTCCCTATTGGGTAGAGTGTGTATTATGTCAGCAAATATCGCTTCAGTTGCCAGATAAGGACAAGTTATCAAATAATGCAAACAGGCTCAACCATACCGGTCTTTTTGGAATTCGCATGGTCACTGCAGCTAAACTTGTGATTAGGCGCTGTTCCTAAATGGATTTGATCGAGATTGAAGTGAAGGGAGAGCGCACATGACTATTATCCGGTGAAATACCTTGCATTGTCAACTAAGAACGTTTACAGAGCCGTCGAGGAACAACAGCTATTAGCATATTCGGACTAACCTACGCATCTCTAAGCTCAAATCCGGCCCATCGCTGGTCTATCCCGGTCCTCCATTCATTCTGATCCAATTGCCCCGATCTTAATAATACGCTCCGATGGCTCATACGACAACATACCCCTCAATAACTCCTCAATGGAAGCCATTTCCCTGGGACTGAATTCACACGGCGTTGGCCTGGCTGATCGGTTCATGGAAGATGTATTCTGGTGGAAGAAGTAGGGCTGGGGTGTGTAGTTCTTTGGGTGGTTTATCTTTGAAGAAAGCTTCGCCGAAATCTGAAATGATTATCCGGGCACCCCTAATACTATATTTGCTTGACTGATACATCCCTGCAGGCGGAACGCAATATCTTGGGAGCTTTAGGTCATTGGGAACTTGATCCAATCTCTCCAGTGACAATGTCCTAGGCATCCTTGGAAGGCCGTGGAGCTTCTCCATAATCGCATCATCTTGGTTTTCCAGCTTGAAAAGGATGTTACTGAAATGTAAATCTGTTTCTCAATTGTTAGCCCCTTCGTAGCACATGGAGGTTAATCCAAATGGCTGTGTAAACTTACCGCTGTGGACCACACCACGAGATTGGATATAGGCTAATCCCCATATAATTTGCGCCGCTATACTCCTAGCCACATTGACTGGAAACTTCCAAATATTTTCTGACTCCCTCCACTGGGCAAAGCTTGGACCAGCAACATCGCTCACAATACACCGATGACGCCCATTTGGACCAGTAATCATAAATTCATTCAGAAGCAATGGAACAAATGCATGTGCTAGGAGCTTTGGACTACCTGAATTCAACACGCGTAAAATATTTCCTTCAGAGCAAGATTCAGAAATATCAGCGGTAAAAATCTTCATGGCAACATATCTTGCGTCCCAGCGATCCCTGGCAAGCCAGACTGTTGAGTAACTTCCGTGACCCAGTTTATGGATTATCTCATAGCGCCCGTCAAAATGCCTATCGTCGATGTGAGTTAGATGATAGCCACCGGGGCCATAACGTCTAAGTTTATCGACTCCTTGCTCCTCTAATTCTACATTTAGGAAGGAAAGGGTTGTGCTAACCGCAGCTAATTTTGAAGTCTGCGGGGAGTGTTGCGACATTGGGAGATTTGTAGATGTGCGAGAGCAGAAGAGCATTATGGGATTAGTTGAAGATACATCCAGCAGTTGTGTGGAAGACGATAATGGTACCACGTAAGCTAGAAGCTATGAGAAAAGAGATCGGATCAGGATGATGCAGTTGATAGACCTAGGCTCTATGACCCCAAGTATTTAAACCCATCCTCCACTTCCATCAATTCACCACAAGCGGCTCACAACCTTGGGATTCACTCAGTTCATATATCGTAAATAGTCGAGCCCAAAGCAGACTCGGAATGTAGGTTATACATGCGGCTCAGCTATCGAGAACCGACGTAATGTAGCCGAGGCGCATGCATCTTTAGGTACTTATGCATCACGCCAGGGATGTTTATTAGATCGGTCGAAATTGATTGCAATACTAACAATACGTTTTACCCGGAATGGCAGCAGGTTACACAGAGACGGGATATCCGAGCACGCCATGGCTGTCTGGCGAAGGATGAAAGGTCGAGATACTGCCACGTCAATATGCTGGCTCCCTACCTCTAATAGTGGGTGTTTTGATTATGGCGCTAAGTGCTGGAGGCTGATGTTACAAGCAGTGCGGCTGTGGTAATTGGTATGTTCCAAACGAGCCGTATGTTGATTGGTTCCCTTGTCATGTAATTTCAACACACTGCTTGCCAAATAAAGTATTCCCGAGAGACAAAAGTCCTCTGCAGATTTTGGCTATCCAGCACAAGTACCATCAGTGCCCAACGGTCACATGATAATTGTTTGCTTGCCCCTCCAAACGAGGCTGAACAAAGCTGAATATCTACATCCCGGGCATTAAGATGAAAAACGATATCGTCGGGGGAAAGCCTATCTATCCCTGGCAAGAACGCCGTCCAATAGGTTTTCAGTTGTTTCTTCGGTACCATTCGATACGCATTTCCTAAAACTATGGCTCTTGTGCAACCGTACCTTCCAAATCTCAAGGTCGAGCATATCTCCAATCCTGCGGTCGATAGAGTGCTTGCCGAATTAAGCGACTGGGTCACCTACTCCGCACAATTTACAACGGACCTGGAGAACCTACAGAGATGTGTGGATAAAGACTTTGCCCAAGTCGTACAACCTCTACTTGACGCACTTGGCCTTCCCGAGAAGGTATGAAACGAGTTCAGCCATATATTGCTAATCAAGTTCTAACACAAAGGTATCGATGAAGTTAAAAAATCAGCGCTGGGGTTGTGGCATATTTCGCACTGGCCCTGGGCGAGCACAACTCCGTAATTCAGCCGACACAATGACATATCTCGTCCCCATTCGCATCTCGACGCCCGGGCCGCTCACGTTTGGACCCGAATTCAAGGTCGGATGGGCTTGGTACATTCCCACTGAGATTGAGATTGGGCCGGGATTGACGGCTCTGCTCGTCTCTGGAATATAACGGAGACTAAGGTGCCCAATCGAATTGTCACGGTATAATTCGGTTTGTTGGGGCAGATTAATGGACCAGGTACACAGCATTCGGACGCTATATGAAGGATGATCTGGAAGCCGGAGGGTCGTCAGATTGCTGCATTGAGGTCGATAAAGAGGACATTTGTACATATGCCGTAGCGAGGTAATCGTCACGATTCGTCGTGATGAAGTCAACATTCGAAGCAATTACACTGTTATATGTGTTCTCAAAAACGGCTGAAACGTCCCATGTGGTACGGCTGGTTGTCGGTTCTTCTACATTCAATTAGCCACATCTTCCACATTCCAGTAAAGGCTCTTACCCGAAGCGGCCCTTGACACCTCTCCGCTAGAGGTTGGTGTTACATCTCTACTTCTCCAACGAGGATCACCACGACATCGCCCCTTCACCAGATGCTCAACCATATTCCGCTTCTCAGCATAGCTCTTATCGCAACTAGGACACGGGTACCTCGTCTCCTTGTCTAATTTTCACCTTTAGCTAACTTGCCTGCGACAATAGTAATACTTGAGTTAGAATACTCACGGGTCTCCATATGTCTTTTCAGGCAAGAGGTCTTGCCAAATACACCATTGCAAGCTCCACAAGGGTAGACTGTACCTGGTTGCCTGCGTGCAAACGGATACCGATCTTTATACTCTCTAAAGTGCACCTCGCATTTAGAGCTAGATGTGAACATGTGGTCGCGGAGGCTGTCTTTGGCTCGAGATCCGGTGTATAATTGGTCGCAGGACGGGATGGGGCAGATGACTTCCTGGGAATGTGTAGGAGACATCGTTGCGATATAATTTATGAAGAACGTGTAGGATATATAGGAAGGAAAGTTGACGTTGTATTTTGCAGTATATAAACTGGAATTGATACTGATGAGAAGACTCTCGGGATTGAGGCCGACGACCTCTATTTATGCGTAGACCTCAACACTATCTGGGCACCTCAGGGGCACAGCAAGTCCATACCGACTTGTACATTCTATTATGCAAAAACGACAGGCTTCACTCAGTCGTGTGCAACATTTGCTATAGTTGTTGATGCATAATCGTAAGCTTTGACGGTGCTGCGGAAATAATATCCCGCCAATTACGGTTACGGTAGCCAATAACCAGTCGACTATGCAACGCTAGTTAAATTACTTTATCCTCCCAGCATCGGCGCTAGCACGTTATTCGCTTTGGCTTCGCCATCTTTGTGATCACTGTATGCAAAGAGAGACAGGGAAGCCGGTAGTACTGTGCTCGAATTGACCTCGAAGTGCTGCCCACATAGTACGCCGAGAGTGGCAATGTCTTTTCGCGCGGCTCCTCGATACCACGGACCATCAACAAGCACCGGAGTTTAGAGCCGAGCTTTCGCTTAGAGGAGGTAGTTTCGTTTTGTTTGCTGGTTTACACTGGGTGATCATGCCGTATAGTACTCCGTACAGATTGATCGCCGGTATCCTGGGTTACGTCGCCCCAAGTGTGACTGTGTTTGGTTGAGGCGCGGCTGGGCAGTTGCCTCAGGAAAACAAGACTGGCAGCGTAACTCTACTGCGGCTAAGTTTGCTGCCCAGTGGAAGGATTTCCGGCGCCAGGATGGGCAGAGTCCAGGGATAGAACCGGACATGAACGATTCGTTGTCACTGCAAGTGCGGCAGTGCCTGTAAGGAACCGGCGCAATCAAAATCCGATATGATGGTTATTCAAGCTAAGCACGCAAGGACAAAAGGACCGGACTTCCGATTGGAAGTTACGGCTGATCCGATTGGCTGAACGTGGTCGAGGCGCTCTGCGATCTCAGATAAAAGATAGCCTTGTCTTGATCGTTGCACGGTGTCCACTCTCTTGCATTGTTTGTGTCTGTAGAATCCTATCATCGATGCTATAACACGCTTTTTTTCAACCATCTTTGGACTCTGTTCCAAGTTGCTGAAAGGATACCGGAAACGGCAGCGTATGATGTGAATATAAAATGCATGATGTGCTTCCGGGAGACATTGGCGCACGAAATAAGAATACAGCGTTCACATTTGTTCTCTTAACAGTGGTTGAGCTGACCTTGATTATCAGATCTCTTGGCGAGGATGGATTCTTGTGTCACATTACGACTTCATTAAACGACCAGCTCATGCTTTGTAGTCTGGCGGCTATCACGAAGATTCGTTTCCTGTTGAATTCGGAATCAATCAACGCCCCGTTGCCAATGCACCTCCCCACTTGCTGTCCATTAGAGCTCATCGTGTTCTTCAAGCTGACCGCAAACATGAATGTCATTGTGGAAGCTTGGATCTTCCAATTGTATCTTGGCTCGATAGGCTGCTCCTGCAGCGCCGACAAAAATAGGATCGATCTGGTCGCGCATGTGCACTTTCCAGTCTTCGGGAATTGCTAGAGCCAAGATATCGCGAAATTTATCCACGGCAGGCTGTGGGGCTTCTCCACTGAGGAGAATTGCGCGTAGGTCCTGGTATTCATCGTCTGGGATGTGTTTCGAGATGAAGTCCTTTATTAATCTTACCATTTTCTCGCTTTGAGTCTGATTATCCTATTACTCTCTTATTAGCATTTCAGTCTCGTTCAACATGCGCCAAATCTATCATGCTTACCTGTGCGCCTATCATTGCTTCATTGGGTTTGTATGTCTGATATCGATTGTCAATGAAGGCGCCGTACTTTGCTGTATCAGCCACACAAAGGTTCAACAAGTCTCCATGATAATCGACATAGAGAATTTTATACAGATCTTCCTCAATGCCACAATCCTCCTAGGCGCTGACTTTTAGTCCGACGCAGGTATTGAGATAATATGTCAACCGTCCAATGTTGATGAGGTGACGGATATACCAGTCATACTTTATGGAAGTGACATTTGCGTAGAATATAGCATCGAAAAGGTGACAGTCCCCAATAGAATCCAACCCGTACGGGATACCAGCAGCCGTGATATTGAGGATTTCTGTCGCTTCGTCTTTCACTTGCTGGAGAAGAGAAGAAATAATCTCGGCAGACTCCGGGGGGTAGTTTAGGATCTCTTCTGGAACCGATTTCAGTTCATCGCTTTCTGTAATATACCAGTTTCCTCTGCTTAGCCTACCAAATATCAATACGTTAGCAATGCTTTTTGGGATTTGGAAGTGGTTAAACGTCCTATCACTTACACTCGCTTCTCTGAGTCTGCGAACAGCTATACCATATGCGACTGATACTCGGGATATATTGTTTTCACAAGAGGGACCACATCAATTGTGCTATCAAGGTACGCTGCCGTGCTATATTTCGTCTTAGTGAGTCGACAATAGAACAATGAGATAGAGGGGTCATAATACACGAATCGGCGTCCAAAATTTACACCCAGCGCTTTCAATATATATATCAGCCGACTCAGTCGAACCTTTATAGTAATTGAATACTTTTTACGATATCCATCGCTGACCATGGTAAATGCTGTTTATTGTAGGATAAAGAAAAAGACACATATTGCTTTAGCCCGGTTGCTCACTGCGTCGAGGATAATCATAGTCTTCGACCGTAGTACGGAATCAGGAAGTCATATATGGAGGGGATGTGCTGAGAAGTGTGATGGTATAATAAAATGGTAGTACGTATGGTGATATATTATAGCAGATGAAATTTGTCCAATACGAGAGTTCTCTTTCAAGAACAGCGCTTAGCTGTCACATGACTCTTAGATGGGCGACTCGCCTGTATAACCAAAAGAAAGGGCAATGCGGACGTTATCGTCCTACTATACGCTATACAAAAGTGGGAGATCTGCTAGCAGCCAACTTGAGTATCCTCCACTTCTGAACTACTACTGCGGCGCGATCGGAAAGCGTAGCAAACCATTCGGTTTTTTCTGGCATCCGGGGTACATGCTATGCTCACATTTATTTTTACGAGTTTCGTGTCGACTCGGCATCTCTCCATGCAAGTACATCACCGCTTTTGATTCAGTATGCGAGAAACTTCAGTGCGCTTCTCGACTGGGCTGCTCAGCATCAAGAACGTCACGAACAATAACAATATTCCGGAATTTGCCTGAATCACCTACATCATATCACAAAGACCACCTTCGACGGTCACCTTCTTTCCGTAGACGGGGCGTGGTCACATAGCGCGCTCGCTTGATTTCAAGTCGTTGGTGGCAGGGCATGTAACCTTTTGTTCGGCGCTCACCTGCATTACAACGAGCCCCAGGCTGGATTCCAAGATCATAAAGCGCAGCTGCGTCACCCTCCTTAGCCTCATAGTTCATTATCACGTAGTGTGGTCATTCAAGGAATAAGTGCTGGTCTGATTCGGTCCGGAGGGTAAGAACTCGTTCGATGACTTGACGGCACAGAGCCTGGATGTTTTCAATTGCCCGTGCGACATTATCAGAACGACTCGGCGAATAGCGATATCCTGCGACTAGATACCTGGATTGTGCATGTGAGTGAAATAGTACTCGATATGTTTTTGGACTCTTGTATCCATGTCAAGCCGCCTATTTGCCCGAGGGGTCTTGCAGAGCTTGGCTTGCCGGAGCTATACGGGTAGATTGCCTGTGTGTCCAAAATCAGTATCCGCGCATATCCGCTTGTGGGAAATTCGGAATGTTCGTGCCCCGCGAAGAATGTACGAAGCAACTTACCAAACTATGCAAGACACTCCAAGGCAAAACATCTCGCACAAAGCTTCATCACGCTCTCAGACAGATGTCGCAGAAGATTCGGAGCTTGGGCGTAGCTCATAACCAAGCGTACACATCGTCGACTGTGTTCCTGTGTGGTGAGGACAACAGTAGGCCAGTGTTGACCTATCACCACCATTCAAGCTCCCACGCACCGTGGCAGACACATCAAATCTCGCTTAATTCATGTTTGGCAGATAACGGTCCGTTCTGGCCCCTACTGCTGTACAGGCCATCGGAAAGATTACCGGCATCACCGTGTTTCCGATCAACGCGTACGCAATTGATTTCTCGGGTATATTAATTTTCTATCGAGCGGCATACGAAGCGTGGGATTGAAGGATGGACGTATTTTTGATCGCCGGACAGATTTGTCGCGACGGTCGTGGATGATGATTCTGGAGTGCGAAGGCCGATGCATGCTTTCGACTGCATTCCGTCGTGGAATGAGTTATTTTCTGGGAAAGTATCTACGATTCAGGTTGTCTCGGATTGAATTTTACGTTCAATGGTGTTTTTAGTGCCGAGTAAACATATATTAAATAGCGGTAGTGTAAAAAAAGTACAGTTATGACAACCGGGGCCACGTATCAAAACGCGTTCTTCTACGGAAATATATCATTATTTCTCTACGGGAAAGAAGCTCTTTTTGCAATCTTTTTACAACTACTATGTATAAATGGTAGAAATCCATTCTGTACGGTGATTTCTCCCGCCAATAGTGTTGATGGTGTAAATATATATCTGGTAGCCAAACTGATAAAGTACCCGAAAATTAAATGCCACAAGCATGCAATAATGCAATGTGCCAACATCGACAGAGTATTACTCCGTACCATACAGAGTACTCTATACATTATCAACACCCGCCAAAAACCCGCAATCAAACCTCGTATAAATTCGCCAGAGCCTCGTACAAAGTGTTATCTTCGCCACCACTCAAAAGTCGAAGATCAATTCCCCACTACATATCTGCAAAGTGGGACTTGATTTCCACTTGATTTCCACACTACTCTCCGTCCCCTCAATCCCCTCAATCCACTATACAGTAAAGAGTACCACACTACGTCAGCGGTCACCCTACAAGGCCAGGCCCAGCCGAACGGTGGCGAGCTCCCACCCAGAGCTAGCACCATCCGTTCCCCGCCCCGTCCATCAAGCACCTAGACCAACGGCCGGCGGGTGTAGAGAGGGAATGCTTGGCGGGCGGTGTGTGGGGTGAGTAGTGCTCTGTTAATCTGCAGCAAATGCGCATTCTCGTGCGAGTTGAATATCATTTTCCAAGCGGAAGGAGCTGCAGCTGGAAGCAGGGCAACTGTGCTTACTTTTCGCTTATCTGCGAAGCGAAATGCACGAGTTTCCATTTCGGGGAAATGAACTGACCTACAGAACAGACGTACTGTGCATACTGTAAAACCCCGTTATAAGCAACTATTTCGGCAGGTCGCGGAAATTGCTTATAACGGAGTATTGCTTATATCGGATTATACGAGCTTGCTGCCATAAATATATATATAGACGTCATCTAATTACAAAAGAAGTCTCGTATATCACTCTGCTGCTGTCTGCTAACCTTCTTTCTCAAAAGGGTCCTCTCATGGAAGAGAAGTTGCTGGATTAAGGCCTTATTTCCATCCACCTGCTGCTCCTCGAAAAGCCGGAGTTTATATAGACTCTCCAAAGCATCTGTTATAGATATCTGTGGAAGAGACTCATAGTTTTCTTCCTCTTCCTCCTCTTCTT